AATTAGTGCATGCAAGTTCAACTGTCACTACACAATGTTCTACTGTTCAACCAGCTCTTCCAGACCGTGAAGTACCTGAATGTACTGTTACCTTGGCATAGCTGGGTAGCACTTGCATTTATTGTGTTACTTTGCTGGCAACCAGCCTATTGCATGGAGATACTAAATGCATTTCTAAAATGTTGTTTCACTCACTTTCTTAACATGATTTTGATACCTTTGAACTGCCACCATAACATTTCATTTTGTCCTAAAATATTTTGAACAGGATGTTCACCTTTACACTCTAAGCCTGGGTGTTGCCCATTCTTGTGCCAGATAATCCTGTCTGGTTATGCAGCCTTCACATGTAAACTGACCATAGGTCAGGTTACTAAACAATTATGTAACACTGCACATGCTCCAAGACATGTCATGTCATTGGGGCTTTACGACGCACTCAGCTGCTGAGGCTATATGGCGTCGCCTGCCTCTCACCCTAGCAGGAAGGGCGGGCACCGCGGGGAATCGAACCCCGTACCTCTGGCTTCCCAGATGTGCAGTGGCTATTGCAGATGCTTTAACCACTACACTTCTGGCACCCCATCCTCCAAGACAAAGGCATGCCAAAAAAACAAAACAAAAACAGAGCATGCACACTATTTCTGAGTGTCCTAGGTTTGGCACAAGACTGCAACAACATTTTCCTTCTTATACAAGAACAGCTAGTGTTTGAAAGAAACATGATCCTGTGGTGATAACCAAGTACAAATATTTGCATAGTAACATAAAATGTTGTTACCAAGCATTACAACTTCAACTCAGCTTAATTCAGCCTGTACTAAGCTCAGAACATAAGTGCACCAGGCTCAAAGCACCATGTCACAACAGGTCATCTAAGCTGCTACCTTGGAACATAAATGACTACCACTGCAAATATCTGAGCGCAAACACGCAGCAACCGCAACCTCCGTGTCATGCCCGTGATCACAGCATTACTGCACATCAAGAACCATAAAAATGTATGAGGCCAAGGTAACAAGAATCCAATGAAATATGTTTCTTGCGTATCCAAGCAGTCTTTCACGTTGTTTGTAGATTGGTTGACATGGTGAGGAAATATGATGTTTTTAGGTGGGAATGAAAAGCAAAATGAGAATATGGCAGTTAAACAAAACATCTTAATATGGTACATATATATGCCATGGAACATGGACACCAATGGGACACTGGGTTGAAGGGGACAGGGTGGGGGGTTAGGTTAGGTTAGGTTAGGTTAGGTTAGGTTAGGTTAGGTTAGGTTAGGTTAGGTTAGGTTAGGTTAGGTTAGGTTAGGCTAGGTTAGGTTTTTAGGCTATGTTCTGGACTATTCTGGCCTGCCTGTTTCATAAACATACCAAGATGTGATAAGAAACATTTTTGTTGCATTATTATTGTTACCTTGGCCCCATTCATTTTTTATGGTTCTTGATAAGCAGAAATATTGTATTAGACCATAATGCAGAAAGGGCACTGGGGAGTTGAGGCAGTGGGGTGCATGCGGCACTCAGGATTATATTGAGGTTATTAAAATTTGAAGGTAGGAGCGTGAATCTACCTGTTTTATGATTATTTACAATGCAGTGTGGGAAAAACCTCCGTTTTCTGGTGAATGTCACACCAGGAAATCTTGTACTCCAGGCTCTTGACTGCTAAGAATGACAATTGTTGTACTCCAGACAAACACTGCAGTCGCCCCACAAAGCAGACACCATTGCAAATGTATGAGCCTGAGTATAAGTACCAAGGCAGACAGTTTTGCTGTCTTGATAGCCAGGAGGGTGCATGAACTTTGCTTTCATAAAGTGAGTTGTAACTTTTATTTGATTTCCAGGGACCAAACATATGGAGCACCAAGAAATGGAGACAAGCATCTGCAATCCTGCAGGAGCTGGCCAGTCCAGGGCGTTCATGTCAATGTCCTTCATCATTGTATTACATGGGTCAGATGCACTTGTACAAGCCTATGCAACTCCTGAATGGTGATGACAACTCATGTGAGTTACTTCTGTGGGAATGAAATAAACTGAAATATGAAATGTGCTTGTTTTAAGTACCTACCGCTGCCACATACCTCGCATGCCATTACCTGTGGGGAAAATATATGGCGCACCTGAGTAAGTAAGACCGCATTTTCCACGACAAACACACCTACCGATACCTTTCAAGAAACGGACAAACATATCACGGCTCTGGCTCCCACTACGCGACGAACCCATCGCCTCCAGTACCCGAAACCAGCGGCAGCCCAGCCTCCTGCAACTGGCGAGTGCATTTTCGAGCAGTGAAGGTCCGCGTCGCAAGACACCTACAACAATATTCGTTCGACCAGAAACCACTAGCAGCACCAAAATCACCGCTGGCACATCTTTTTCAACTAGGTCATTCAAAGACTCGCCGAGCAAGAAGTCCAGCATGCCAACTATGCTCTAAACTTACCTCATATTAAGAAAACATGTTAGCGATTTTACCAAAGGACGTGCATCTTGCAAACAGTTTGGTGGGAAAATTCCAAAGGTTGCAGCATTGCACATCCTTTTCAAAGCGCTTGTTTCATTCCTGCTCTTGCCATACCAGCCACCAATCACCATCTAACTTGCAATTAAACTCAAAATCATAGCATTCAAACACACCACATATCGGCACTTTTGAGATAGAATCATGACATTAAACGGCACCCAAATATCACGTTTGTGGGCGGCACTTTTGGTGGTAACGGCTTCTTTTGGGTTCTTAAATGTCATCGGGAATTACGTTCCCAAAATGGGAGTTTGTGGCATGCAGCATTCCAGAACTTATTACTATTGTATAAATGATAGCACGTCAACCACTTTTTTCAGAAATCGGCAAATGCCGGTCTTTGAAGATTCGAGGATATCTTACTTATTTAACAACGGTATCACGTCTCCAGGCTCAACCAGTACCTATACTTGTAAGATAGAGATGGTCCATAACCCGGTGGGAAAAAATCGCAGTACTTGGTTGCCCTTCTCACAATGGGGCCTATGGGGAGACCCGGGGAGAACAAGCCGGAGTACAAGCCGGAGAACAGCAAGTTTTTAGCAAAGTTAGCCAAATTTAATTGAAAAATTTATGTGTTTTGGTATCGCCCAGATACGGGCCCTCCTCAGAGGGTGTTGAAATGGCATGATATGCCTTAGAATGAGAAATATCTATAGATTTGTAGTACAGGTACTGCATTATCTCGGCATTGTCTTGCGCCACCAGAAGATAATATATATTTGTAGGTGGAAAATAGCAACTTTAAATGCATGTCTGTAAAGCTCTATGATTTTTCTACCACAAACTCAACAATTTGTGTTGCCGCAACTGCATAAATGGTTTTTCTTAGACTATTCATCACAGCCTGTCATTTCAGGACCGACCCGTGGCACTTGTACTTGGTTGCCCATTGACGAGTGCTAGAATGCCATCACAATGTCTGTGAATGTGCCAGAACTCCTGTGCATGGTTTAGTTGTTTGTCTTGATGTGGTGGGAGTGAGGAGGGCGGAAGGTGAGTGAAGCTGCTTGGGATTATGTGCATCGTAGCTGTGAGTTTGAGGTATTCAGTGAGGCAAAGTGGAATTGGTTGTCTTCAATTTTCACACAGCATGTATCCACACCTCTCAAGTTACTTGGGATTTAGTTTTGGACCGCTATTAAGTCATTCCAAAAAAGGTAAATAAATACCAGGGGACTGATCTATAAATGTTTACCACTGCAGGCTGGTGCAGAATCACCTTGGTATAACCTGCTCTACCTACAGCATGGTGGGTAGGTATGTAGGTACTAAGGTATCTATATACAACATTAATGCTAGGCTTGGGTTTCCCATGTGGGATCAAATATGAGGCTGGCCTCTTTTCAGCCTGTGGTTATAATTGCTGTAACCTGACAGGTGGCAATGCTGCCATGTTCCTTGCTGTCAGGCATAAGGTCTTGCAGTGACAGTATTAAAATTGTCCCTACATAAGATCATAGGGAACTTGGAGAAGGGGAGAGGGATAACAGGAGGTGCAGGAAGAGAGGAGGAGCAGAAGTGGAGGAGGAGTGGAAGGAGAAAAGTGACAGAAAGAGAAGGTGAGGAGCTGAAAGAGGAGAAGAGCAGAAAGAGAAGGATAGGAAGAGGAACACTTTTGGTATGTTTATATTAATTACGTAAAGGCCAAAAGGACAACATGTTAGTGATGTCACATACATAAGGCTTTCATAAACAGTTGCATCTGCCTAAGACTCATTAAAAAACCAGGGTGTGATGCACAGTGGTCATCCACAATTCAGTTTGTCAGTAAGCAGAGGATGCACCTGATTTATCATTTTGATATTGTGTAAGTTTGCATGTAGATAGGTAATGATAAGTAACTGAGCTTTGTATGATGCACCTGTGAATGCATACATATAAAGTTTTGTTGTTAACCTCTCTAACTGTATTTCTTATTAACATGTACCATTAGTCAATCTTTGCATGTGTAGGTGAGCAAATAGCACTACAGGGATATGGATGGGATCAGTGTGGCGCCCTCACTCACAAGAAGTGCTCTGTTCCACAGAAATGCAAAATTGCATGCTGACACTAATTTTTGCAAGAAAAATATTGGGAGAATGTTGACCCATTAAAGGCAGTATGTGATGGACTTCAAGCGAGGCCCATTGTGCAGACACTCATTCCACATTAGACAGACCTTTGCTTGCAGGCAAGTTTGTACTCCGACCACAAAATTTTTGTACTCCGCCACCAGCAAAAAAAACTAAATTTCCCACCGTTGCAATGTGTTCCGCTTTAAACACGACAAATGATGTGCGATTATTTTTCTAACATTAGGTACCAACGTACACCCACACCTGTTTTTCATTTTGGTACCATATTATGAGGACAGCACATAAGCGGTGAGGAGCCCGAACCACGCAGCGGTGGTCACCTGCATGTAGCGTCCGCGAGATTACCCATCCAACAACCCATGGCTTCCCTACTGAACTCACCTGTGTGATTGAACACAGTCATATAAGGAGGTGAATATCCGCAGGTCTGCGGCAAGATATCACTTGAGGCCTCAATGGTGGATACAATTCTTTGGCTCAGAGGACACGATGGCTCCAGATGGTGCAGCACCCGGATTCTGGAAACAGAATAGCTTTCAGATTTTTCAGGAAGATCCCAATCAAAATGCTTCGATCGCCCGCGGCAGGCAAAACAAAAATTCATTTTTTCTGCTCATACCAATATCGCAACTCCAACTGGATCCTCACGGGGCACTAAAATTGCTCACGTACCAGCCCGCCGCCACCCAACCCAGCGGTATGGCGGAAATGGATTGCGTGAAGAAAGTGATGATGATATTCTTTCCCAAGTCTTTCTGAAATTTATTGCTACTCACAAGCACAGCATAGTTTGATGCAGAGGAAAGAACATTTATCAAAAAATCCTTAGGTTTCTGGCCTTATTGTCTTTTTAAGAAGTAGTTTTAACAAAATTCACTCGATTGAAAAATGAATATATGTCTTAAATGCCGTCAAAGTAAAAAAAAATAATAAAAGTACACAAATAAGCAAAGTACAATGCGAATAAAGTTTTGACCAACACTAGAACTCATCCCAGAAGGCTGATCACTGAATGGTACGGCTTTTTCCTTTCCTGGTGACCCTCACCTCGGGCAGCTAAATTCAGAGGCATGGTTTCGCAAAATGAGTTGGGGCTGAGCGGTAAAAACAGCCCTCTATCACCAGAATAGCTGACCAACGGGTTTCTCTATGGATTTGGTCAGTCTCCTCAAAGTTGGGGTAGGGGACTGATTCCCCCCTCCCGGCTGAATCGGAGTTTGCACCGCGGCATAGTTCCATTCTTTGCAAAACGCGGTCAGCCTTTACAATTTATATGTGATGATAAAGTATAAATCGCCTTATAAGTATATAAGTATATGAGGTATAAATCGCCATACCCGCCCTCCGAATCATGTTTTCATTTCCGGCGTCACGTATCCAGGCGAAAGTGGAACGAATTGAGCCGAGTATGGTATCTTGGATACCAATGGGTGATAGATGACCACGCGGGAAATATGATGAAAGACCGATAAAGAGCTGTCGGCTTCCAACGGGTACCAACGTCAGCTATCACGAGTGGCACACTCGTTGCGTTTTGCCTCCCGCTCTGTTTTACTAATTGAAAAGTCTGCGAATGACTGCTTTTCACTATAAAAGGAGCGCTGCAAACGGCGGACCGAAATGCTCTCCGGGGGACATTTATCATGTTGCCTGAAATCGTGTAAATTTAAAGCTTTGACTCTGGGCGGGGCCACATGGTTCCTGCCCCTTGACTAACGCTCGGTGGAGGGGGGGGGGGGGGGGTCGGATCATAGTCTTAAGCCCCGTACCCCCCACCAGGATCGGCCTGGTTTTTTCAGATCACTCTTGGATATGCCTCTGCAATCTGCAAATCAGAAAATTTGTTTGGTTCCACATGTTATTGACTGTACCACGGGCAGACATCTCGCGTCCAACAGCCGACGTAGTGGCAACGGCAGCAGAAAGCCTCGACCGAATCTATGTATGGTACGCGCAATCACAGAGCCGGAGGGGAGGGGGCATGTCATGGATCCATGCCCTTTGGGCCGAAGGGCCACCAAAATGTTGTGAATGGACACCAAAATCCCTTGGTGAAGGGGCACAAAAATTCTGTGGCGAAGGTGTACCAAAATCCGCATTCCGGGTCCACATAACCTTTGTAAGACGCACCAAAGTTCAGAGGCACGACAAAAAAGGTCTCAAATCTTAATGTTACATTACAAAATGAAGTAAACTTAGCCTCCATAAATGAGGAGGACTTTAATCTGGTGGGCCATTCCGGCAGAAAATATTTTACCGCTAAAAAGTACGAATTGGAAAATACAGCTACCGAAATCTGAGAGCTGACCTTTGTGCGGAGGGGTGGGGGTGGGGGGGGGGGGGAAGAGGCGCCAAGTTCCAGGGGTACCACAATCAAGTGTCGCCCCTCCCTTCACGAACTCTTGAATCCGCTGCTGGGTACGCAGCTGGGACGGCCATTCTCGACGCCAGGACAAAGTAAACGACCGTTCGAGTACATTATTGAGTACATTGCGTTCGATGCAAGGTAATGCGTTTGTGATCTCTAGCCCATCCATATGTACTGTAGTTAAGACTAAATGGTCCCAAAAGTAGCCATGCTAGTTCCATCGCAATCTCAGTAGCCTCCACACCCCCCCCCCCCCCCTCCCGCACACGCACCGCTGCAAGCCCTAGCCACGCTCCTATACATTCCAGACATGCAACGTCTCATTTTGTCTCCGTGCTACACATGGACAGGTTTACGCCGTTCTGTTGAGGTCACGATTCAAAATTTCACTGCCGACAACTAGCCGAAAAACGCCGTCGGCCACACGGACTGTGGCAATGAATGTTGGACTAGCCACTACATTTGCCTTGCAAACATGGTGGGCATGTGACCTTTGAGTGACCTAGTGTTAACACAACACGCCATTCGATCTCTCGTCCTGCCGCGCATGTCTCGTAACGACCAAAGCGCCACGTTGCGCGGAAGGGTGTATTAACAACTTAGTTATCACAGAATTCAAAAAGGCAAGGTCGACGTGAGATCCATGTTTCTTTCGACAACACGCCGGTCGGACTAGATCCGGCCACATGATTAGCACGGCTGGTGGCGAACAGGTGCACATCTGGTGACCCGAATACGCCACTGGCCAATCGTGTACATCGAGTACATCGTGTACGTGTACATCGTGTACATCGAGCATGTTCACGAAGGTGCCGAACTGAACGCTCCAACGTGACGTTGAGTAACAGCGAGTGATCGCACGTCATAACTCCATTCAGTGTCTACCACATCTTGTGCGCCCCACTTCCTTTGCACATCACACCGGTTTGTATCAACAAGACACTTGGAAAGCGTCGCCTTAGCCGGCGCTGTACGGGGCGGGCGTCTGGACGGATGCAGGACGGACGGGCGCACCGAGTCAGGGGCGGCGCCTCCCGACGTCAGCACAGCCACGCCTTCAGCGGCGAGCCGTGCTGCTGCGACAGAGTGGACGGAGAAACGGCCGCCTTCGAAGAGCATCACACAGTCTGGCTGGAGGTGGCCAGCGTACTCGTGGCGACTGGCTCGCCACAGCAGGCGGACGGACTGAGGTGCAGACAAGCGGACGGACGGGCGCAGCAGGACGGCGGGCACACCAGAGTCTCAGTGCCCAATCATTTCGGCGACCAAAGACACCACAAACGACATAATCGCGACAAAAGGATAAACCCCAACGGCCGGTGCGCAGGCGGCGTCACGACACCATTCTCAAGATGACATTGCGACAGCTCCTACATATGTGTCCCGATACGCGGCACGACTAGACGTGGAAGCCGACGTGAAGAAAACAACCGGCAATCACTGGTTACAGCCTCCCAGATATTTCTTCGCAATGGCTCCCCCACATCGACGCGACAGTGCCGAGAGCCACCACATGCACTACACGGCAAGCAAATCGCTGTAGAGGGTCCATGTCGACACCGACTCGGGGGAGGGGAGGGGGGACAGTGCGAGCCGCCGACGCGCTCCTGTCGGCCAGCCTCACACTTCGTAGCCCCACTTGTACTGGTTCAGGCAGGCGTTGAGGTCCGACAGCACCGAGCGTCGGTACCGCCGACACAGCGTGTCCATGTAGGGCAGGTGCTCCCGGGTCAGGAAACCCTGGATCGAACTCAGCTGTGGCAGCAGGAAACAGCCGTCAGCTAGCTCCTGACCCAATTCTGACAGCGGCCAAATGGCCTTCTCAGGTGACAACAGCCCGGCACTGAGACATTTGTTAATCAAATGCAGCTGAAATAACAACAGGCACTGGAATGAATACGCGCATAACGCGAAATAGCGCCGGCTGCGGGTCCCTCCCACCTTTCAGATGTTGAACGGCAAAGCTTAGCTCCGTGTCGGCGGCTGCAGTCATCCTCCGGCTGCAGCACGAGCTTGACGCGGAACAGCACACGCTCCGAGCGGTGACCACGCCAGTCGCGCGCAGCCGCGCCCGTACCTTGAGCACCAGCAGCGGCAGCGGCTGGTCGGCCGCCAGCAGCACGGCCGACTGCACGTGGCGCAGCACGGCCACGGTGAAGTAGAGCATGTAGTCGGGCCCGAGGCACGTGACCAGCGCCACGTAGTGGCACACCTCTTGCCAGGAGAGCACGCCCAGGTAGCACTGCCGCAGCCAACCGGCGCACAGCGAACTCAGCGGTACGCGGCCGATCTGAAGAGCGCGCCACGCCGCGTCAGTCACGAGTACGCTGCACCGTCACACAGTACAGCAGCTGCTCACTGCAGAACAGGTGCAGTAGCAAGTCAGATCCGACAGGCTTAGACGGGTGAGCCGCCTGGCACGGGCATCACCTCACCCTCAAGCGTCATGCCACTCAGGGTAGAGTCGGGACGGAGTGAGCACAGGAAAGAGCTGGAGTGGGCGTCTAACCTGGAGCTGAATAGAGAGTGAGTGTTGGTATGGTGTCTGGTCTGGAGTTGTGGAGGTGTTGGGTGCTGGCGCGGCAGTGCTGGGCAGTGTCTGACCTGAGGTCGGGGAGGTGAGCCTCTGACCTGCAGGGCGGCCTGTACGCCGGGTAGCTCCTGCTCCACCAGGGCACCCATGTGGTGCATCAGGCCGGAGAGCAGTAGTTCGTCCGTGCAGAGGTCGCGGCACCGGCTCACGTGGTTACCCCGCGCCGTCCACACGAAGGCCGAGCCGGCCACGGCGAAGTAGCTGGTGAGGAAGTGACGACTCCTGCCGGTCGGACCGGTCAGGTTGCGGTCAGACGCTGGATCAGGCAAACCGGTGTCAGGTTGGCCGTGATGATCAGGTGATCTCGCAGCTGGCACGTGAATACACCGGGCCACTGAGAGTCGGCATTATGACGTGATCATGACACGGGTGTCTTCACAACGCCGCTGGTGATGATCAGGTGATCTCGCAGCTGGCACGTGAATACACCCGGCCACTAAGAGTCTGCATTATGACGTGATCATGACACGGGTGTCTTCACAACGCCGCTGCTGCCCTAATTTCACTAATAGCCGCTTGGTACCACCGCCGTCTACAGGCGTCCGGTCACGTCCAAGCCGAGCGAGGGAGCCGGACAGTGCAATGGCTGACGACCGCCGGCCGGCATGCCCGGCTGGATATGTTCTGCCCGCTGCCCGGCCACGGTACCTGTCCAGGTTGCCTCCGTAGATGAGGAAGATGACGGCGGCGAACCAATGGACGCCGGTCTCGCTGCTGACCTCGCCGCACAGTCGGCGGGCGTGGCGGAACAGGGAGAGCAGAGCCTCGCAAGCCTGGGCGGAGGCGGTCACCAGCCGCCGACCGCTGCCGTACCTGCGGTGTGACACACGCGGCTCACCAAACCTAGGCGGAGATGGTCACCAACCGCCGACCGCTGCCGTACCTGCGGTGTGACACACGCGGCTCACCAAACCTAGGCGGAGATGGTCACCAACCACCGACCGCTGCCGTACCGTGGTGTGACACACGCGGGCCACCACACCTGGACAGGACAGATCACCAGCCGCCGACCGCTGCCGTACCTGCGGTGTGACACACGCGGCTCACCAAACCTAGGCGGAGATGGTCACCAACCACCGACCGCTGCCGTACCGTGGTGTAACACACGCGGGCCACCACACCTGGACAGGACAGATCACCAGCCGCCGACCGCTGCCGTACCGCGGTGTGACACACGCAGGCCACCACACCTGGACAGGACAGATCACCAGCCGCCGACCGCTGCCGTACCGTGGTGTGACACACGCGGCTCACCAAACCTAGGCGGAGATGGTCACCAACCACCGACCGCTGCCGTACCGCGGTGTGACACACGCGGGTCACCACACCTGGACAGGACAGATCACCAGCCGCCGACCGCTGCCGTACCGCGGTGTGACACACGCAGGCCACCACACCTGGACAGGACAGATCACCAGCCGCCGACCGCTGCCGTACCGTGGTGTGACACACGCGGGCCACCACACCTGGACAGGACAGATCACCAGCCGCCGACCGCTGCCGTACCGCAGTGTGACACACGAGGTGCGACACACAGCCAACCGCTCACGCACCCAGGGGACGCACGCGAGTCAGAAACGTGCGAATCTCGTTGGAGACCGACTGCTTGATACTGAGGAGACTGTTGTACAGCAACATCACACGCCAGCGGCGGGCTGACGGCACGCAGCGAGCCGCACACCGTCCGCCCCGGGCCATCCTGGTGTCCGCTGGAACCTGAACGCCACTGCCCATGCTTTGACGCCGCTCAATCGTCGGCGAGCAGTTGCTGTGGTCACAGTCATTTTCTGCAGTACTAGTTCGGCTCGGGTTAGGTCAAACCAGGTCCGGTCACCCATCCGCTCACTACGGCGTCAGATCGGATCAGATTTCTCCCGCCATTCGCTCCGGCACAGGTCATACGCTTTCAGCATCACAAGGTCAAGGCATCTACTTACCCCAGGACTATGTGAGATCACGTCAGGTCAGGTCAGCCTGGATACTCACTGCAGCAGCAGGTCGGCGGCGGCGGCGTCCGTGGCGAACGTCAGGTCGTCATCGGTGAGCTGAGAGGCGGCCGGCTGGACACAACGCTCAGGAAGCGCCAGCGTCGCCGCGCCGACCGGCGGCTCCAGCTCCAGCAGCTGCTCCAGCAGCTCCGTCAGCTGGCTTTCCTGCGGCCGGCAGGCACACGTGTTGGCTGCGAGCCGACTGCGCAGCTGGCGGCGCCGCTCGACCGGCATCCGGCTGTCAGGCCAGTTCCGCACCACACCCGTCACACCGACACCACCACCAACTCCGCCGCCGTGGCAGAACACTGGCAAGCATTCCCTTAGCAAGCAGCGGTTCCACACTCTGGCCGCCAGCCCTCGATTTCGTCTCTTCTCGTAAAGTGTCCAGGTAACGCATGCCCTCCTGAGGTCTCCGCGCCTCCAGATGGCCAGTCAGCACACTGAACTGTGCGCTGACGAGCAGCAGAGACCGTCCTGATCGGCCAGCACTCCGGGAAGAGCGGGGCACAGCGGGGCGGGGCGAATGTACCTTCACAGTCTGGTTGGCGGTGGCCGTGAGCGTGGCCTTGAGCGCCTTGCGGCAGGCGCCCAGCCAGGCGGCGTCGTGCAGGCTGTGTCGCGACTCGGCCAGGAAGCGGGAGAGCTCGTGAGGCCGCCGGGGAGCGGCCAGCACGCGCCTGCCGTCACGAGCGCCGGTCGCGCCCGACCTGGGCTTCACGCCCTGCCGGCGAAAAGGCGGTGAGTGCACCCGGGCACGTGCAACAGCCCGCCGCCCGACGCTGTGACGCTGTCTGACCGGTGTCCGGCCCAAGTCCACCAGCAGAGAACTGGTTTATCTCAGACCGATGTTTAACACGCTGTAAAGGGAGATGAGCCTCGAAGATTACGAGCTAGCCAGTGGGCGCATTCGTCGATCGCCGACAAGAGGTACAAAATACGAATGCTGCCGTGGCCAAATAACCCAGGGTGCATTAAAAGACGCGCCAGTGGTCAGCTCACCTCGGGTCCCAGGTACTGGTACATCAGTGTGTCGGTGGTTGGCTCACCTCGGGTCCCACGTACTGGTAGATCAGTGTGTCGGTGGTTGGCTCACCTCGGGTCCCACGTACTGGTAGATCAGTGTGTCGGTGGTTGGCTCACCTCGGGTCCCAGGTACTGGTACATCAGTGTGTCGGTGGTCGGCTCACCTCGGGTCCCAGGTACTGGTAGATCAGTGTGTCGGTGGTCGGCTCACCTCGGGTCCCAGGTACTGGTAGATCAGTGTGTCGGTGGTCGGCTCACCTCGGGTCCCAGGCACTGGTAGATCAGTGTGTCGGTGGTTGGCTCACCTCGGGTCCCAGGTACTGGTAGATCAGTGTGTCGGTGGTCGGCTCACCTCGGGTCCCAGGTACTGGTACATCAGTGTGTCGGTGGTTGGCTCACCTCGGGTCCCAGGTACTGGTAGATCAGTGTGTCGGTGGTCGGCTCACCTCGGGTCCCAGGTACTGGTAGATCAGTGTGTCGGTGGTTGGCTCACCTCGGGTCCCAGGTACTGGTACATCAGTGTGTCGGTGGTTGGCTCACCTCGGGTCCCAGGTACTGGTAGATCAGTGTGTCGGTGGTTGGCTCACCTCGGGTCCCAGGTACTGGTACATCAGTGTGTCGGTGGTTGGCTCACCTCGGGTCCCAGGTACTGGTAATCAGTGTGTCGGTGGTCGGCTCACCTCGGGTCCCAGGTACTGGTACATCAGTGTGTCGGTGGTTGGCTCACCTCGGGTCCCAGGTACTGGTAGATCAGTGTGTCGGTGGTCGGCTCACCTCGGGTCCCAGGTACTGGTACATCAGTGTGTCGGTGGTAGGCTCACCTCGGGTCCCAGGTACTGGTACATCAGTGTGTCGGTGGTTGGCTCACCTCGGGTCCCAGGTACTGGTAGATCAGTGTGTCGGTGGTTGGCTCACCTCGGGTCCCAGGTACTGGTACATCAGTGTGTCGGTGGTTGGCTCACCTCGGGTCCCAGGTACTGGTAGATCAGTGTGTCGGTGGTTGGCTCACCTCGGGTCCCAGGTACTGGTACATCAGTGTGTCGGTGGTTGGCTCACCTCGGGTCCCAGGTACTGGTAGATCAGTGTGTCGGTGGTCGGCTCACCTCGGGTCCCAGGTACTGGTACATCAGTGTGTGTCGGTGGTGGCTCACCTCGGGTCCCAGGTACTGGTAGATCAGTGTGTCGGTGGTGGCTCACCTCGGGTCCCAGGTACTGGTACATCAGTGTGTCGGTGGTCGGCTCACCTCGGGTCCCAGGTACTGGTAGATCAGTGTGTCGGTGGTCGGCTCACCTCGGGTCCCAGGTACTGGTACATCAGTGTGTCGGTGGTCGGCTCACCTCGGGTCCCAGGTACTGGTAGATCAGTGTGTCGGTGGTCGGCTCACCTCGGGTCCCAGGTACTGGTACATCAGTGTGTCGGTGGTCGGCTCACCTCGGGTCCCAGGTACTGGTAGATCAGTGTGTCGGTGGTTGGCTCACCTCGGGTCCCAGGTACTGGTACATCAGTGTGTCGGTGGTCGGCTCACCTCGGGTCCCAGGTACTGGTAGATCAGTGTGTCGGTGGTCTCACCTCGGGTCCCAGGTACTGGTAGATCAGTGTGTCGGTGGTCGGCTCACCTCGGGTCCCAGGTACTGGTAGATCAGTGTGTCGGTGGTCGGCTCACCTCGGGTCCCAGGTACTGGTATCAGTGTGTTGGCGGTCGGCTCACCTCGGGTCCCAGGTACTGGTAGATCAGTGTGTCGGTGGTCGGCTCACCTCGGGTCCCAGGTACTGGTAGATCAGTGTGTCGGTGGTTGGCTCACCTCGGGTCCCAGGTACTGGTGGATCAGTGTGTCGGTGGTCGGCTCACCTCGGGTCCCAGGTACTGGTAGATCAGTGCGTTGGCGGTCGGCTCACCTCGGGTCCCAGGTACTGTAAGATCAGTGTGTCGGTGGTCGGCTCACCTCGGGTCCCAGGTACTGGTAGATCAGTGTGTCGGTGGTAGGCTCACCTCGGACCCGGTACTGGTAGATCAGTGTGTTGGTGGTCGGCTCACCTCGGGTCCCAGGTACTGGTAGATCAGTGGTCGGTGGTCGGCTCACCTCGGGTCCCAGGTTGGTAGATCAGTGTGTCGGTGGTCGGCTCACCTCGGGCCCAGGTACTGGTAATCAGTGTGTCGGTGGTAGGCTCACCTCGGGACCCAGGTACTGGTAGATCAGTGTGTCGGTGGTCGGCTCACCTCGGGTCCCAGGTACTGGTAGATCAGTGTGTCGGTGGTCGGCTCACCTCGGGTCCCAGGTACTGGTAGATCAGTGTGTCGGTGGTTGGCTCACCTCGGGCCCCAGGTACTGGTACATCAGTGTGTCGGTGGTAGGCTCACCTCGGGTCCCAGGGTACTGGTAGATCAGTGTGTCGGTGGTCGGCTCACCTCGGGTCCCAGTTACTGGTAGATCAGTGTGTCGTGGTCGCGCTCACCTCGGGTCCCAGGTACTGATAGATCAGTGTGTCGGTGTCGGCTCACCTCGGGTCCCAGGTACTGGTACATCAGTGTGTCGGTGGTCGGCTCACCTCGGGCCCCAAGTAGTGGTAGATCAGTGTGCCGGTGGGAGTGTCGAGCGTGGCCAGCAGGGCGCGCGCGTGTTGCCGAAACACGTGCGCCTCATCTATGACGTCCAGCGGGTTGGCCTCCTCGTCAGCAGGCAGCTCCTAATGCAGAGTGTCAGGTGGATATCTACATAAAACCAACCTTGCAAGACGTCACACGTCCTCGCCATACGGGCGGGAAGCTGTCCAGCACCAGCCCTGCACCAGCGGCCGGTGCGAGCCCCGCTATCGTTGGCTGGAACTGCGAACTGCAGGGCGTATCTGCTGATAGAAAGCCGCAGCAGACGATTCCAGAGGTGAAATTTATTCCAACACACTGTAGAATGTTGCGATTTAAGCACTTGCACTCTTTCATTTCAAACAATGACAAGCTGGTGTAACAGAAACGGCAAACTGCTGATCAAGTTCACCCTTTTAATTTACATATCAAGTATGTTCCGATTTTCCGGCTTTTGCTGGATGGATGCTGGACTGGATGATTCAATGCATCAAAGCTTGAGTGACAGACAACAAATCCTGAACAGACACAAATGGGCGCTGGATTGGAGCGTTGCGATCTTTCAGCGTCACGGATGCCACGGTTTTAAACATACATTAAACCTGATCACTGATGCAACAGTCATAACCGCCCCCCCCCCCCCCGTTCCCCGCAACCAAGTAGCCGTGCAGCCATAGCCGTCTCTCTGTATGCGGTCCTCTGGCTGGTGAGGTAGTACCCCGACACAGCATTGCGAGGCTGGCCTCCCAGAAGGACCAGCGCTGCTGAATAATGTAGTTGTCCATAGCGGCTGAGCTGCAGTGCGGGCTCGGTAGTCCGTTCAGACAGGACAGCATCACGGGCGTGGCTAACCTTGACAGGATAGCAAGGTCCCCTCCCCCCCCCCCCCCCATAGGACCGGATAGCTGTGCAGGATGGATATCGCTCTTGAGAGGACCGCGGGCATAGCGTCATCTGACAGGACTACAGAGCAGGGCGGGGTTGTCCCTGCCGAGAGGACAGTAGCGGAGCACACTTATCCCTGCTGAGAGAACGGCAGAGGAGCAGGATTGTCCTTGCCGAGAGAATGGCAGGGGAGTGGAGTTGTCCTGGCCAAGAGAACGGCAGCGGAGCAGGGCTGTTCTTGCCGAGAGAACGGCAGCGAAGCGAGGTTGTTCTTGCTGAGAGAACGGCAGCGAAGCGGAGTTGTTGCTGCCGAGAGGACAGCAGCGGAACAAAGTTGTCCCTGCCGAGAGGACGGCGGCGGAGCGGAGTTGTCTCTGCCAAGAGAACGGCAGCGGAGCGGGACTGTTCGTGCCGAGAGAACGGCAGCGGAGCGGGGTTGTCCCGGCCGAGAGAACGGCAGCGGAGCGGGGCTGTTCTTGCCGAGAGCGGCAGTGGAGCGGGGCTGTTCTTGCCGAGAGAACGGCAGCGGAGCAGGGTTGTCCCGGCCGAGAGAACGGCAGCGGAGCGGGGTTGTCCCGGCTGAGAGAGCGGCAGCGGAGCGAGGCTGTTCTTGCCCAGAGAACGGTGGCAGAGCGGGGTTGTTTGTACCGAGAGAATGGCGTCGGAGCGGTCGTTGCTCACCTGGCCCTTGGTGAGTGAGATAAAGAGCGTGCGGCCATCCAGGTGGGTGCAGCAAACCAGCGCCAGCAGGCAGACCCAGGCGGGAGGGCACGGTCCGGCCACCACAGTCGTCAGCTCGAGCGGCAGCGGCGGCCGCGGCCCACACCGCGTCAGCATCCATGCACCTGCACCACCAGGGCCATCACGCCACCGACACACGCTTCACGCCATCTGTAATACCGATCTTGGCAGCAATGGAGACGTGCGTGCACTTCAGACGGTCACATTCAGATGAGTTCTCAGAAAAGCTCACAGTTTCACGTTTACCACTTTAAGATGCGCCCGGGTGGCCCGTTGAATACAATGTCGCTCAGCTGCGAGGGGGGATCAATTGGACCCTCAGATCTACAAAAGCCAGAGAGCTAGAGACGCCAAATTTCCCAGATATATAGGTCTGTATGTGACTTCATTTGTACCAAATTTTGAGGTGCCTAGGTCATGACCTTCGGGACAAATAACGTCAAACAAGCTCAAACTCAAGATAAATGTCCGAAGTTCCTTTAGATCCCCGTATACAACGACCTTTAACTTGGATTCCCCTACTGAGCATAACGGCATACTTTTCCAATTACAGGTGTCAGTGACCGTACTTGACCTTCAAAGGGCTAAGGTGACAAAAAAACAGTGAGATTGCTTTGATTTTTCAATTGCAATAAGCGTTAAGGATTACGCTAGGCGACATATTCCTAAAATAAAAGATTGGTCGCGGTTTGTCTAGATCAGCGACCCCTTCTTACCTTTAAGATCAAATAACAAATTTGTTGACCTCCCTGTGATCAAGTTATTCGAAGTGGGCGGCAAAAACTACCTCACAAGACAAGGTTTCCAGTAAAAAAGCAATTTGGTTTTCATTCTGACCTGAACCTTCATACCTCATTCAATCGATGACATTAGTCGTAATCCTGGTTCAATTGTCCAGTTGTCAAAGAAACCGCTTGAAAATGCATGGTTTCGTCTGACACTCCGTTGTCGCATCAGACTGAACGACTCACTAAGAATTACACCATCGCTGACTGACATGCCATATGTAAGTAGCCCTTCAAAGGTAAATGCAACTTTTCATGCCAAGATTAGCCTTTTAATTGGTCACAGGTGTGCGAAGTTTGGTGCAGCCGAGCCGCAGAGTTCGCGAGTTATTTTGGAAAAGCCTTCGGGGGTCAAATTGACCACCCACCCGAGTACGCGGTCGACGACTTCCCACCACACGCATCGTGGCGTAATGGTTAATAGGGGCGGGATTAAACCCGCCGTAGAATTAATCATTCACTGCGAGGCGAATTATATGATATTCAGGTACTTACTACTTGTTCCGCTTAATCGTTTAAAACCAAATTTGATGCCCCGCTCAATTTAGTCATCTTGCAATGCCCAAAAAATATTTGCCTTATCGAAGGCTCCCGTACCCTATTCGTTCTAATCGGGTGCCATAACTTTAAAGGCTGTGCTCTTCGCTGTTCAATAACGCATCAAGCTTCCATTAGCAACTGCAAACAAATTGGCATATAAAAGCATGATAAGTGGATTTTACTGGTTCGGGATACCCAAATACAATACAATTCCCTCCATTTTAAACAGCTCGCGGTCAATTTACGGTCTCCCAGCTCGTTACAGCAGTGACGTGTCCACACTTCAGAACCGACACCAAGTTTCGGTGTAGGCAGTGCTCAGCGGCAGCCCCGCGCCAGTGACTGACCCCAGTAGGAGGCGGCCCAGCAGGTAAGCAGGTGAGCGTGCTGCAGGTGCGGCAGTTCGCCCTCCTCCTGCAGGAAGCCGAGCTCGGCCGACTGGAGAGCGGCGGCGGCGGCCGACAGCAGCCGCTGCCCCCAGGCCTGCTGCGGCAGCAGGGCGGCGCAGCGACGCAGGCACAGCAGGCCCTCCAGCGGCGGCCGTGCGCCCGCCTCGGCCGCCACGCCCAGCTGCTTCAGCGTCGGCGACAGCAGCTGCTCCCTGCCGGTCGGCCGGCGGGGTGTCACCAGGCGGGCAGCGGAGCGTCCGACCCAGCGCCACGCGCGCGTCAGGCCGCTGGCCACCCGCACACAACAGTCTCACCGAGTCGCAACGTTGGGCCATACCACTCGAGGACGTAGCACAGCATGCAGTTTGTGGGGCACAGAGATAAATGGTTCCCCGACAAACCCATCTCAGTGGTTGCGTAACGAGCCCCGCACTGACGTGCTCTTCAGTCTGGCTAGCGGATCACCAATGTCTGGCTGGCGAACCCTCCCCAGTGACTGGAGTGGTGAGTGCCTGAGTGGCAAACCCATCTGAGGAGATGGCCAGCAGCCAGTATCCGAGTAGCAAACCCTCCAGAGTGGCTGGTGAGTATCTAGTCTCCCTGAGGCGGCGGCGGGTGCCGCTGGACTGGAGCCGTCGCTCACCTGACAAGCACGCACAGGGCGCGCGGGTAGCGCGCCAGCTCGCCGCAGAACGGCAGCACGTGCTCGCTCAGGTCGGTCAGCAGGCGGCTCGAGTGCTCGAGGTTCGGATCGAGCACGTGCAACCGCTCGTTGAGCGTCTGCAGCAGGTTGGACATGACCACCGTCTGCAGGCCCAGGTGGGAGCGGCACAGGTTGGTGAGCAAGGCGGCGAAGGCCGAGGCCGTGTCGCGGCAGGCCGGCTCGGCACGAAGTGCGCGCGGCGCCGCCTGGCAGATAGCGCGCGCCAGCGTGCCGGCCGAGCCGCGGTGCGTGCTGCCCTGCCGGCGGCCGGCCGCCAGGTGCCGCTGGCCGGCGGCGCTGGCCGTCAGCGCCAGCAACAGGCGCAGCACCGGCGGCCGGCGGCGCGGCGGCGACCCGGCCAGCGCCCGCTGCAGCTGCTCGGCCAGCGCAGCCAGCAGCACCGGCTCACCGCACGCCTCTTGCAGGCCGGGCGCGTGCCGCAGGCTGGTCGCCAGCGCCGCCAGCGCCAGCTGGCCGCCGGCCGAGCACGCCTGCTCCAGCAGCAGCTGCAGCAGCTCCGTCAGCGAGGTGCCAGCACTGTCCGGCCTCGCCGCGATCGGGAACAGGCCGCGGCACGAGTGGTACTGCGCCACGCACACCAACACGTGCACAGCGTGTGAATAGCACGCCTCGGACACGGCCTCCGCCACCAGCAGGCCGCCAGGCCGAGAGCGAGGCGGTGGCCGCTCGCGAGCCGCTGCCGTCGACCGGCCGTGCAGTAGCACGGTGGACAGCATCAGCTGCAAAAGCTGCGGCGACTTGCGCAGCACGGCCGCCATCTTCTGGCGGCTCCATTCGGCGTGCATCCAGTACCGGAACCAGGCGGCCGCCGGGTCCAGCAGGCAGAGCAGCGCCACCGGCAGCGTGTACAGGTCGGAGAGGGTCGTGACGCCGCCGCGCGGCACACCCAGCGTCAGCAGGTCCACCGTGTTCTCCACCATCTCCTCCACGTGCCGCTCTGGGAAGCGGAGCCAGGCGCGCGGCACGTACCGCTGCCGACACCGGCGGTGGACGGTCAGCATGCGCAGCTGTGCTCCCGGCTCAAACTGCGCCCACATACACGAAAACACCCGCATAGCTCCAATACTGAAATATGTCTAATATTCAAAGTTTACGCCTTTACGACAAAACCACATTAAGTTAGATTCCTCCAGCACTGCTCAATGAATAGTCATTTCCTTCAACCGTAACAGAAAGCAAGCGCAACTATTCGCAGCGCTATGGTCAAGCGTTTGCAAGCGTTGACGCGAAGTGCGACCCACACCTGGTACTGGTTGACCATGGCGAGGATCTGGAGGGCACGCTTGGTCTCCGTCAGGCCCACGTTCAGGCCGCGCTGGGAGGCGCCGCCCCGTCGGCGCCGGTCCACGTAGATGGTGCACACGGCCTCCAGCAAGCTGAGGTATGCCTCCTTGATGAAGAAGTGTGACTCGCACACCAGCAGACGGGAGTGCACCTGAACAACGGGGCAAGTCTCACTCCATGCCGCGAGCTACAGCCGCACACAATGACGACGGAAATGATGATGCAGCTATAGCTAAAAACAACGGAAACAGCACATAAAGGAAACACAGGTGCAATGATATTCTATAAATGTACCGGCATGAGCATCAAATTCCTCAAAGACAGTCAAAATCAGATGTCTCCCTGATACTTCAGGACCCCTTGGTCGGATCGGAACGATTCAAATAAAAATTGACAGCCCTCGTCCATTTCACTCAGATATCAAAACGTGGAATTTTTTCACGATACTAATGACATTAAAGGTCACGCAAAATATCACCTCCAGGCACGGATATAAAATTATGCCCGCAATTTGGAGGGCATTACTTCCTCATTCATGCGTTCCTGGAAAAACAACTGTGTGCCGGTACTGGTATTAGGGGCCGCCCATATACATATTACCTTAGGCATGGAGCGGGAGGGTTCGACATAGCGCAACTGAAGCGTAACACGCCGAAGGGCTGAGATGGCCTGTATAACGTTACGCTCAGGTGTGGCTGCAAATAACGCTTGGGTCTTTTTCATTATTTTAGAACCTTAGGCCTGGGTGCCGTTCATTTCTGCTCAATACAATGCATTCGTCTTTGTTTCGTACATCCCTCAACTGGGGGCCAAACGGACATCACCCGGCCGGGACAAAAAGCTTAATACTGCATTGCCAAAGAGAGAAGCTTTGGACCCAGCGAAGCCAGTACCGACCGATGGGGAGGCACGGGGGTTGAAAATGCCAAAATTGCAAATGTAATTCATGGTTGGCCACTTAAAAAAAGTTGAGGCAGCAACACAGGCATACCGCAGAGCCCTTCTTCACTGCCTCCATCCCTCCGTCCACTCGGAGGAAGGGAGGGAGCAGCTACCTGTTCTGGCGGGGTGAGCCGCCCACGCGCACCGCACCGGTCACCTGATGGGCGCGGCTGGCGACGGCGTCGGAGGTGTCCAACAGCGCGTCCTGCACGGCCGGCCGCAGCTGCGCCCACGCATCGGCGCTGACCGAGCCGCTAGCCAGCGCCGTCAGCAGCAGTGCCAGTGACTCTGCGCGCGTCTGCTCGTCCTGCTCGGGCCCCAGCGCCGCTCCCAACCCGTCCACATCAGCCGGGGAGAACACCAGAGATGGGTTGAGGCTGCCATACAGTGAAGAGCCGACTGAGCGGTTGAGCGCTTCCACGGGCACCTCTCTCACAGCTGCTGGTTCTGACAGCACGTCACGCAGCTCATCAGCATTCTCCAGCATGTCCTGTGCTGCTGCCTCTGTTACCTGCCAGTTAGGGAAGGACAGGTCAGGAGGACTGTGCATTGAGCTGCATCTGGCTACATCTCAGTAAAAAGCTACCATACACTGAACTGGGGCTGGCTTAACTACTATGGGTGTCAGACAGCATGAGGAAAGCCAGAAAAAACATGAGTTACCACATACTTCCCACTATCTGCTGTAGCCCCACACAACCACCATCAGTAAGGATGTTAATTGGGTTTGAGGCTCACCTGGGTCAGCCGTGAGCGTAACTGTTGTACATCTGGTGTTGCAGTCAGCTTAGCCAGAGCCTGTCCACCCAATTGTTCACAAACAGAGTGGCTAGTGGTGCCAGACATGGGCAGCACCTCCACAGCACGCTTGATTAGGCCACCCAGTTGTGCCTCAGCCACTGCCTGCAGGGCTGTGAGCACACCGCAGCCCTCTGAAATCAGGTCGAGCTCTTCCAGATACACAAGGAGTTCTCCAGCACTGCGATCCGCACCAACGGATGCCAGCAGAGGACCAAGCTGACGCAGCATCTCCTGGGTGTGCTGGGTCACTGTATCTGTTGTCCACTGTGCTGCCATGATGTTGATGTTAGCTCTCTCCAATAAAGCAGCCTTTGTTACAGCTTATCCAGCTGGAAATTTGCTGCCGGGGTTGACGTATGACGAGCAAAGGCAGATTAATGTTTAAGTTCTCATGGCTGGGCTGCAGGCCTTATGCATTAGGCGGTTTCATCTCCCTGACATGATGCAGGACTGAGGACGCATCACTCAAGCCCTTAACCCATGAGCACAATAACGCTTTCCAAAGAGGCATTGGATATAACCGATATAAGTCACATTCCTGTTGAAAACCCCCAACCACGCGACACCCCCTTGCAGCAACCCGCGGGGCGCAGGAACAGGACTAGTGTGATTAGAGGAGCGAAATCCGCGCGAGGTATGTTTCGTTTCTAGGGAAGAAGGTGGAAAATCTAGATATCGCTAGATGTCTCCGGACATTTCACATCGCCTCCGAAAATTCCCCATAGATGTAGCTCATTTCGCGTTGAAGTTGAGCGAATTGAGAACAAAACGTGAATTTTGTCTGATGATTTAGTACCTTGCCATGCACTACTTTTGTTGAGAATTATGAGAGAGAGCTTGTGACTAGCACTCTGTTGTTATCCTAAACCTCCAATTTTCCCTGCCGGTAGTGTTCCATCACTCAACAACTATTTCACCAGACATTTCTAGCGGCGCTGAATATAGGGAGTTATGAATTCTGGCATCCTATTCGTCAGCTATATGTGTTCCTGTTTCGTCAGAAGTGACGCATTTTAGCGTGCGGTTGATATTGGGTGTGGTGGGGATGGTGTAGGGTAAGAGCAAAGGAGGGCATATGGGTGTTAAAGCATGTTATAAAATTACGGCGATTGAAATATGTGGGGTCGTGGGGCTGGTGTACCGCTACGCAAGCTGGTCAAACTGGGCTTGCTCGGTTTGTATGGCCACTGTGCACCATGGTGGTCCTGCATTACCATGCATTTTTCCTCTAAAGTGGTGTATTATGTGTTGTCGCATGCTATCAATTTCTTAGGCTGCATGGAAATGAGGCAGGGAGTGGCAAAACACACTTAGATACTGGGTGCAAATTGGTGGTGTAGGCAGAGAAACCAGAACATGGTATTCTGTGTTTGCAACATGTTAAAGTGGGGAGTCATGATGAAAAAAAATCCATGTCTCATGTGGATTCATGAATTGGTCTGAATAACCCTGATATGCCTCATAATTTTTTTATGTTGTTTAAAGAAGTGATGCATCATTAGGTCAACAGCTGGTGTTGATGGACCTGGTATTTGGCATCATACATGTGTAGGAAACATGGCTGCCACTGTAAAATTTGTAATATCTGGTTTTAAGGGTTTAAAGCCTGAATACTTTTTTAAAAGTACTATAAAAAGCTGAAAGAGATAAATAAGTAAGGAACATAGATTCAAGTAACATAATAAGAATAATATTTTGCAAATAATCAGCAAGCCAAACTTAAGAAACATGCATCTGTATCAAAAGAGAAGCAGTGTTAGTTTTTTATATTTTATGTCATGCTTCACAGTTCTTCAAAAACATGTTGTCTGCCAGTTTAATTCAGGTCTGTCAATCACACTCTGTTGTCCTTTTGGACGTGTCTCGTTGTCATGCTGTGCTGCTTGGATTTGGCAAGATTTGCTCAAAACCGGAAACATGTTCTGATCTTGGTATTGCTGTTCCCTTTTATGTTATGTCATTGATGTGATCTACTAAAGTCTAGCAGACTGATGTTTCTGTGAGCAATTAGCCTTGTTGCTAGGGAGTCTTGTTGCAGAATTTGGAACATGTTATCTTAAAAGTGAATTTTATGATGTTTGTCTACCATAATGCATCAGGGGCATCACAATGGTGCCAAAATGCTTGAAGCATTCACAGCCACAACCAGTAAGGATGTAGGATCAATGGTAGCTGCAGTTATTTTTCATCTAGATGTCCCCTGTGAGGTGGCTGATGGCCAGGCTGCAAAATTTGCACGCTGCCCCAAACATTCGCTGCACTGAGAACATTGTCATGTTGCAAAAGTAATTGCAGGCAAGAGTATTCTAAAACATTTCTCATGCAAAACTAATTTGAAAATTTAGTACAACTTTGGCAGGCCTGAGTTTGGTGCACATGAGTGTAAGGTTCAGCAAGCTCACTGCATAGGCATCCAGTGCAGTGGGTGGATTTTTTGTAGACTGGTCTGATGGTTCACTTGCAGTGGATTTCATGACACTTCTCTGGGCTGTTTTTTTATTGTTAGATTTGTATTTGCAGGTACATATTGAACAAGATCACTGCTGTTGCTGCTTGTGTGCAAGGAGGAAGAGGGCTGTGAACATCCCCAGCAAATAATCAGCAACAGGAACTGCTCATCATCAACATGGCTGCCCCTATTTACAATCCAGTAAGTCTGACTGACAGTTAGGATAAAGCTGGTGGACGGATGTCATGAGATCGGCAAATGCCATGATGCCTCATGAAGCTTTGCCAGGTTTTTATGACAGTGTGCAGATCACTCATGATCAAGTGGCTTGTCAGGCATAGTTTGTCATACAGTGTAACTGCTAAAGCTGAAAGCATGCTGACCAGACTGCTGCCATGTGGTTCATTGCAATGATACCACAACTGACAGCCTGAGTTGGTCAGTAGTCTGTGTGCCTTTCTTGCTGTCTGGTGGTGTCTTGTGACTGGTGTATTGGCAGTGGTCTATGTGTGCCTCCAGTGCTGTGTGACAGTGTCCTGTGACTGACTGCAGTTTCCAGAGACTGGTGCACAGACAGTGGTCTGTGCATGCCTTTGGTGTTGTCTGGCAGTGTCCTGTGATTGGCATGCAGACAGTGATTTGTGGGCCTTCAGTGCTGTCTGGCAGTATCTGGTAACTAGCACACCACCAGTGGTCTGTGCCCCCAGTGCTGCCTTGCTGTGTCTGGTGACGAGAGCGCCGACAGTGATACCTGATAACCCTTGCAGGGCATCCCCTACTGTGAGATGATTCCGGGCGGGCCGCTCCTGCCTGGCCGCATGATCCGAATCCAGGCATCTTCCTACCCGAATGCCTCCAGGTAGGGAAGGAACGGGAGTGGCGGCCGGCGCCGGGCCCGTCCTCTCTCTGGACACGGCGGCGGTGCGGCCGCTCGCCGCCGGGCTTCTGTGATCATTGACAGCAGCAGGCTTTGGCTTACTGTTCCCAGAAATGACTTCAAGCTAGGTTCAATTGATATGGTCGGTTTTTTGCAGGAATGTAAACATTGCTTTGTTTTTTTTCAGTTTTCCAGTTTCCTGTACAGCATGTGTCAATGCAATGGTTACAATAATGTACCCAACGCGAAGTCTTGGCTTTCAAACAGAGCATGGTGGAACTGGACCATTTTGAAGTTATGTGAACTAACACATCTTGATGCAGAAATAAAGCATCAGCACGTCGACATTCTGAAGTCCCCGCAATGCGTGCAAAACTGATGTGATTGATAAGCATCAGTTGATGATTTGCCAGGAGAGACATGGGTTTGTGAAATGTACCATGAAATGTGGTTTGTGATTTTTATCACTGATTTCTGTTTCCGGCTTTTATTTTCAAAGGTCAGAATGTAAGTGGGATGCAATGTTTGCCATGCATTGATACATAATGGTTGGATTTTTAGGTGAATATGATAACTTATGTGGGTCAAAAGCTAAGTTTGTCCAAGCCAAGCAACTAAGCTTACAGAGCAACAGTTGAATGGGTTTTGAATGTCACAGTGCCCTTGATCTGAAGTAGTCATCAATTTTTTCCCCTGCTGGCATTAACTTAATTTTTGTGACACTCAGACAAGTGACCTGAAAATTATTGCGTGAAGGTGTGAATAAAACCGGCAGATAAGTGTTCTTTATTCTTCTATTTTCGTTTTCTACTCTTAAGAACAATGTCACGTTTTTTATGGACCCGGTAGGTGGTCTGGGCTGTTGCTGGGGAGTTCCGTCGGTGGATGCGCATTCCACACGTCACTGCAATCAGACACCATCGCGGCACATCTCACTCATCATCTCTTCAATGCGTAGCGCCAACTGCTCACCTATCAGTCACCGTCATTATCTCCACAGTGCGTAGTGTGAACTGCTCACCGTCAACTTCACCAAGCGCGTGTACTTGGGCAGGTTCGCAGTAAACCTGCAGGTGGGGCCGAACGTGAACCCCCGAGACGACATCGCGATGCACGTGAACGTGCGCTATGACGAAAACTGCGTCGTGCGCAACTCGCTGATCTACCAGAGCTGGGGCGACGAGGAGCGGCACCCCAACTTCATGCCCCTGCAGCGGGGCGCCAGCTTTGAGATTCTGATCTTGTGCGAGCCGTCCGAGTACAAGGTCAGTCGCCGCTGTGGGCGCCGCCAGCCGGACAGCGCCGACTCGTCCCGGCGGTCTGGCACAGCGTGCACCGGCCGCCGTCCCCAGCAGGGGTGTTGACGGGTGTGGGCGATCAGATGACGGACCAGCTCGCTTGTCCGGGTGTTTTACTGGGCCCAGTCCTGTCTCTGGCTGCTGGCTGGTGGCCAAAGCGCACCAGTAGCTCGGTTGTTGTGGCCGTGCTGGCCATGGGCTTCCACTTCCACAGACAGTGGTCCGGAGCGACCGTCTCTGCGCCGAACAGAGGTGGATGTACTGTTCGCCGTATCTGCGTGTACCCGCCCCATGCGACATCTTGGCTGCCTCCAGAGTGTAATTTGCGAAGGCTGGACTGCCTGTGTCCCAAGCAGCACTGTATGGTCAACAGTCAATCGCCGTATACAGACGAACGGCTGGCATAAACCTGTTTGGTTAGCCGTAGCCAGGGCAGTGAACAGAACGTGCATGGTCTTTGATGCAGCACGGTCGAATGTGCAGTCAGGGCGTGATCGTACGTGTACACCTGGGAGTGTCGACTGGTCGTCACCGCGCGCCGCCGTCTCCGTCCGACAGGTGGCCATTAACGGGCAGCACTTCTGCGAGTTCCGGCACCGGATGGCGCCGCAGAACGCCACCTTCTTCTCCATCGACGGCGACATTAACGTCACCATGCTGGCATTCGAGGGCGGATCGCCGCCCGGCGCCCCCGGCTACATGCCGGCCGCCGCCGCTGCGTACGGTGCGACCCAGTCCAGTCCGTACGGCGCGCCGCCGTCGCCCTACGGCGCGCAGCCGTCGCCCTACGGCGCACCGCCCGGCGGCTACGGCGCGGCGCCGTCGCCCTACGGCGCGGCGCCGTCGCCCTACGGCCCGCCGCCCGGCGGCTATGGCCCGCAAGGCGGCTACGGGCCGCCGCCGCCGCCCTACAGCTCGACAAATCCCTACCCGCATGTAAGCTATTAGCGGGCCTGGGCCTGGGCGGACTGACCACCCCGGCGGGGGTGGTCGGCGCGGGGCCGACTCTGGCGGCAGTGGTCAGGGAGCAGCGGCCCGGCAGACCGCCGCCATGTCGACTCGGATGATTGGGTCATATGCATCACTGTTGCATTGGGGCAGCTTGTTATCGAACACGATCCGTACGTTGTTGTGTAGCATGTTTGTTGTCGTTGGCTGTTGTTATCTTCCTTTGCTGTCTGATTTACTCCAGGTCGTTGCTTGTCGTGGTGTGTTTCCTGCTGACGCATGTCGTACACGGGCCAGTCTTGGTGCTTTCGGTTCTCTTGTATTCGCATCTGTGCCTGCATTAGTTTGCACTACCTCAGCTCCCTTCTCTTACCCTTTCTTACCATAAAACGGAAGAATTTATGCTGATGACCGCTTTGGGAGGTCCTTGCATAGACTCGCCCACTCACATCTCGTTTTAGCACCACTGGGTGTATAATGCTGGGTCCAAGACACCATGCAGCCATTTGCTTCGTTGATGGGTTTCGCCAATCTGTAGTCGACTACGTAACGAAGCTATCCCGCCTTGCGTGTGGGAGCTGATTCAGATACTTTGCTGACGCAAAACAGCGTCATATATGGAAGTAAATAAGTGCAAAAGGGCGATTTAGGCTGTCATATTTTATTTTGCGCGTTTTTTCGAAGCACGCCGGTAGAGCGCCCGGTATGGATGCATTTCAGGGTTGGCCCCGGTTGGCAGTCGACCTTTATAGACCGCCGCTGGGGGCGCCGCAATGGGTCAGTATAAGTTAGGCGTGCATTTTTCACACGGCTTAACGAGCAAGCTACTTATCTGGAGTTCGAAGAAAAAGCGTGCATAAGGAGGAAAAACTAATGTCGCGGATCAACTGACCGGAACATATGCTTCCCCCCCTCCTCCAAACTGGGTTACGAAGGGCCGCATACGCGAGGAGGTGAACGCCACGCCAATTCTTGACCCGGCACGCGCGGCATGTCACATGTGTCCATTTGTCGAACACCACTTGTCTGGAGCTGACGTCTGTTAATACTTCCCAGAGTCGCGGCGCATTGTCAATGATGCGCAGAGACGTGAAGTAATCTGAGCCATCTCATCGATGGCCTGTCACCAGCGCACTCGGTAAAGGCGTGGCGATTGAGAGCCCGACCTATCGACTTTCCTTGTGACCCGGTTGTTAATGATACTCTAGCCTTTTTTATGTGGAGAGGGGGGTATTGTAATAAAAACTGCAGCCAGCTGTCGTACGCTGGCCGATTTCAACTCCTTGGCAGCTCAGTACGATTTACAAGCTTGCAGCTGGGAGCAAGGCACTTTCAGAACAAGTTGTTCCAAAAGCAATGGGATCATTTAATGTTGTACTCTAATTGGTCATGAGTTAGAAAGTCGGGGTCATTTACGTGTTGAAGTTTCTAAGAAAGCTTCGGCGATGCATCGTGGATAACGAACAACAAAAAACGGATGCCCCCAGTTTTGCGCCAGCGGACCCATGGCCCGCCCGTTCGGCTTGGATTTTGGTATCAATTCTGCTTTAACCTTTGCTGAGTGACTGCGGGCGGCGCGTGCAGCCGGTTCCCCATCCTCACCTCCGGGCTTGCACGGACGGGAAGTCTGCTGACACCTCCGTGGCAACAGATCTCCCATCCCCCCTCCCCCCGGCCCCTGCATGTGCATGGCTGGCGCGTGGCGCGCGCCTGGTCCCCGGGTGGTGGGTGACTAGCTGTCTGGCGGTGGCGGCGGCTCGCTGGCGCGGCGCGGCGCGGCGCGGCGCGGCGTGGCGCTGTCTGACGCGTGTGGCGGCCGGTGGACGGGCAGGGCGGCGGCGGCGGCGGACTGCTGGGCAAGGCGAGCGGCGCCGCGGCCGGCCTGCTCGGCGGCGTCGGGCTCGGCAAGGCCGCCTCCATGATCCCCGGACAGAAGGTAACGCGACCGCGCGCCCAACCTCAGCTGCCCGCGCAGCCAACAGATGGCACTGGCGTCGGGCAGCGCGCCACTGAACGCGATCACAGGGACACGGCGACCCCAGATTCACACCCGCACGAACTGAATAAACTCTTCTCAAGACGGGGGCGGTAGCCACCGAGCCGAATATGCGTGGCGTGTTGCCCATTTGGGGACGGCTGCTTCTCGAACGATGTAGGTCATCCGCGGATGTTCTGGTCTAGCCACCGTGGCACACCTTCCCACGAACATTCGGTCCGCAGATGTTGTGGTTTGGCCGCGGTGGCACGCCTTCCCACGAACATTCGGTCCGCAGATGTGGTTTAGCCGCCGTGGCACGCCTTCCCACGAACATTCGGCGCACGCAGGTACGGGGTGGGCTTCACGTAAGTACACGGATAATGAGATTCACACCACCATATGCGACACCACCATATACCACCGTCAGCATATGCGGTCCCATCCAAAGCACATACAGAGCGCCGCGCGCTTCCTGGTGATTAGATGCACACATCAGCGGCGTGTCCGTCTGATCTATGGATGGTTGGGACGATGTTTTGAAGTGTTCTCATGGTTTATCGTGCTGGGCATTTGTGATGTATGTATCTGTTTCATAGCAAAATGGCGTTCCTCCTGGCATGAGCCTATACGTTATTTCAACCACCCGTCGATAGGCCATTTGACGCGAAACGAATAATTATCGTTATGAGAGATTCACAACTGCGCATACTCTACATAGACCTAGAGATAAGGTAAGACATAGACCTAGAGGTATTGCCCGCTGGTATTGTTTGTTGGGTTACGTTCTGGTCGGCGGTGGCACGATGGCGGTGTTGTGGTCGGTCGGGGGGTCCCCGCTGCCTGTGCGTGGGCGTCGTCCTCGACGTGGCGCCTTCGGCCTTGGGTGGGGTGGCAGGCCGGCCTGACTGCGGCGCCGGTGTTGCAGCCCCACGGAGCCGGTGGCTACCCTGCGGGATATCAGGCCGGAGGGTACAGCGCGCCCGCCTACGCAAGCGTGAGTGCTCACATTAAGACAGGGCTGCACTGCTGGCGATTCAGATGTGCGGCGTTAGGGTCCCCTCCCCGCCTACGCAAGCGTGAGTGCTCACATTAAGACAGGGCTGCACTGCTGGCGATTCAGATGTGCGGCGTTAGGGTCCCCTCCCCGCGGTGCTCGCCTGCCAGGCTGAGGCGCCATAAAGCCTCAGCAGGTAGCTGAACGCGACGTGAAGCTCCAATGATAATGTCGGCACTGGCCGTGGCGGGCGCATACTTGCCAGCTCGTTCCACCCGGAGGCCGCAGGTACGAAGTGCTTCACTACACCCATCAAACCGAAAACCAGCAGTCTAGTAACTTTAGTGCTCGACAATCTGAACAACGGTTCACGGAAGCCACCAAGCTATAAATTTCAGCATTTTGGACATGATCATGGGTTTGGCATCCATTGCGCCGAACAATCTTGTCCACCTTTGGTGTGGCGCGAGCGCGCGTGCGCGACACAGGAGCGAGTGTAGTGGGTCTGGGCATGTGCAGAACAGGCACACAGTGTCTTGCGCATTCAAAAGTGGGCCAGTGGTGTCGCCTGTCGTGCCGCGCCTGTAATGTCACGCAGGGACCTGGCATGGCCAGCGGTTGGATTGCAGGGGCAGGCTAGTGCAGGTAATGCGCCCGAATCGGGATGGTGAACAGCACAGACTCGGGCACACACGAGCTTCAAGTAGGGGGTGCTGCGAAGCAGCTGGTCGCGAACTGCTTGCTCACTGCTTGTCCGCTCTATGCTGGTGGCACATGTTGCTCGTCTTGTTTTCTCTGTGTCGTCCATCTGTTGAACCATGATGTAACAAGCGAAAGACCGTCTTCGTTATGGATCCTGGCAAATTCGTCTGGTTTGATCAGATGGGTATCACTCCCGTCCGGTTTCCCCCATTTTACTTGACGTCCTGCCTTTTCAGTACGGCAAGCCCCACAAGAAGGACAAGAAGTCGAAATTGGCTAAATACGGCGTGCCGCTGGCGGCCGGCCTGGGCGGTGCGTACGTGCTGAACAAGGCGACGCACGGCATCGGCCACGGATTCGGCCATGCCTTCGGACACGGCTCCGGCAGCTCCAGCTCGTCCAGCAGCGAGGAGGAGTGACGCGCGTCGGTTGTCGGCGGGTACAGCGGGACAGGACGGGACGGGACGGGGTGCCGCACCGGAGGCGCGTCGGCGGCGAGCGGCGCCGTAGCCAGCGTGACACAGACTGCTCGTGGATCACCGCGCCGCTGCGCCGCTGTGAGGAGAGGAACGTGTCCTTAACCTCCGCATCGGGTCTGTGAGTCTGTTTCGTTGTGCATCTTTGACTGACATGCGGACGGATCATTTTGCATGTGGTCGCAGATGCGGGTTTGTCACTGTCATGAAAGATGAACGGATGTGTTACGGAATGTGTAACAAAATTAGGCAGTTGTGGGGTATGTGTATGGAAAATTTATTACGAAACAACAACTGCTACCAAGTATGGGTATAGACAATATTATGCTGTAGGTAAGGTCATGGTAGCCGTGGATGACAAGTGAGTAGGTAGGTTTGCGGAGTGCGTCAGGGGAAGTCTGTATTTGTGTGTCCCGTTTACCGGAAAGCATTGAGGAAGGCGGTGAAGGCTAGGTCGGATGTTGATCGGCCACGTTCAGATAATCACGGTCGAGGATAGACTTGCTGTTTGGTGTGTTCAGCGACTTGTAACCCCCTCACATCTCGCTTAGTGTCGCCGGATGGCGTGGCCGTTGAGCCACGGTGCTGTAATTGTATTGATCCAATTTTACTGTATCGTCTAGCCTTTGGACCGACCACGCGGGATGGAAGTAGTCGTGTATCCTCAGTCTAGAGGCTCCCGACAGACTTGTTACAATATATCGTGTATGGACTGTTGGCGGTTGCTTCTGTGGTGGGATGCCATGGCAGCTGTTGTCTACGACCCGTTCTTGACGAGGCTGGCAGGATAACACGGTAACTACCTCGGCATTTGAATGAGGATAAGCATCAATTCCGTCTCTTTTTCATTCGATTGGGCAAATGCTACAAGCCGCGGACGTTGCCTCAAGGTGGGGCCGACGGCGGCCGATATCCCAACCAAACGGAGCGCACTTTAAACAACGTCACGCCTGTGAGGGCTGTTCCGAAAAAACGAGATATTGATGTCATCGTCGCTTTAACCCAACGGTGGAGCCCGATCACGTGGGCCCTGCGGTAAGATGCGTTTGGTGCATTCTGAGGAGGTAGACGGTGGCTGCAGTGTGTTGCGCTCGGTGCCGCGCGGAGGCATAACGCTGGTGGAACACCGCGGCGGCAACACCAAAGCATGCGTCAGGCTACTATCACGAGCCTATGCGTTGTACTTGTTCTGGTAGGTTACTACTCGTGCACGGCGGGTGCGGATTTAATGCACAGTGAGACGAGAGATATGATAATAAATTTGAGGAGGAAAGAGTTAAAATGTCATCAACGGAATTCGAAAACCTTGGAACCTTTAGTAAAACTTAAGAATGGGTTTATAAGTATAACACAACGCGAGGGAGACCATTACGACCATCGGGGACACATGCAGTTACACTGCGCACAACAGTACTGCTCACGGGCCGCCGTCAGCAATGCGTGGGCACGGGATGATTTGAACAAGAACAGTCATGTCGGCCGATGGTCGTTTTACAATGCCGCCCAAGTGCTCCCACAATAACATGAGCGCATCGGCGCACTCTCCGCGTGCCAGTAGAGCTAGTTTAAATCTGACGCCGTAACTTTGCAGATCGCTACCGCTGCCGGCCCGCCAGCATTGACGATGCTTTCTTCGGGAGAAGACCGGATAAAATGGAAACCTGAATCCGACAGACGGGTCGCACTGGCAGCTGACAGCCCTATACCAGCGCTGGTGAATGCGGACAGCCGCACTACCAGCTGACAGCCCTACACCAGCGCTGGTGAATGCGTACAGTCGCACTGGCAGCTGACAGCCCTACACCAGCGCTGGTGAATGGCTGGTGACAGTCGCACTGGCAGCTGACAGCCCTACACCAGCGCTGGTGAATGGCTGGTGACAGTCGCACTCCCCCGCCGCCAATATAAACATTTTTTTTCCGGTCGCCGCATTCTGGCCATGAGGCTGCGGAAAGACCAGTCGCAGTTTGGTGACGAGGCGTGATTTAACCAGAACTGGTGACGTCAGCCCACGAACGATCCGCATTTCCGCCCGATGGTGCTCCCGCGACGGCATCGCATTCGCATGGATGCACTCTCCACGCACGGGTGAAAGTATTTACGGCATCGCATTCGTATGGATGCACTCTCCACGCACGGGTGAAAGTATTTACGGCATCGCATTCGTATGGATGCACTCTCCACGCACGGGTGAAAGTATTTACGGCATCGCATTCGCATGGTTGCACCCTCCACGCACGGGTGAAAGTATTTACGGCATCGCATTCGCATGGTTGCACCCTCCACGCACGGGTGAAAGTATTTTGAATAGAATGTTGTATCTTTGAAATGCCGCCGCATTGGCAATCGGCAGATATGATGTAGGGGGTCGACTGAATAAAAACAGATTCCCTAATCGGGGGAGTGTGTTGTTCTAGTAAATGATGGACTGATGCCAGCGTCACTGAATACACGGTCACAGCCCTCGCTCGTGATTATAAGTAACTTCTCCCACGCGCATCCTGGCCACCACGATACCGGCAGACTAGAAGCAGTGCCAATGCGCCGTCCAGTGGTGATATGAGCAAAACAGCCATGTCGGTCGATGAACCACTTACCTTACCGACCTACAGCCGCACCCGCTGTGCTCGATTTGCTGCATGCCTCATGAGTAGCCAGTACACTACACTCGTCCCTGTCCGATTAAAGTATTCATCTGATTCGGTCGACCAAACGACAGCGTCTCACTCAATGACTGCAGGCTGGCCGCAGCATTTCCAGAGTTACGGGGTCTCATTTGAAATACTTTCAGTTCTGCGCAGGGGGTGCATCCACGTGCACACGTCTTTGTTGAAGCACTATCGGCCGGCAATGTAAATCACTCATTGGCCGACATGACCTTTGTTGTTTAAATCGCCCCATGACTGAGCATTGCTACTTACGGCTTGCTAATTGCGGCACCCCTTGAGTGAGGGACTGCTAGTCCCTCACTTCATCCTAGCGGGGTGGACGCAGCGGTGATTTCCAAACCGGGAATGCAAATCGCTGAGTGGATCGAGCGGACATTTGTATCCAAACCCCCTCTGGCGGCGCCCTGCTAACCGGGGAAAAATTAGAATCGCGCGCAAAGAGTGGGGCCGTATGCATTCAATAGCGCTGGTATATGACTATCAACTACCAGGGCAACATACTTATCCGATGGAGTTATCTTTTTTATTCGGTTGACGCACCGAGATCTCACTCGGTGCTGGTGGAGCGGCCACAGCGTCGATTTCCAAAGCTACGACGCCCAATTTAAAGTCCTTTTAGTCATCTGGTCTCAGTGACGGCCATGTGCACACGAGACCAATGCGAGAACACTTTTGGCTGGCAGCGCAATCCGCCCCTGGGGCATGACCTTTTTCGTTAAAATCGCGACTTTACGGCGATCTATTACCTGTGGCCGGCCTGCCCGTAGCGTAATGTTAAGAATACAGCGTCCCGAAAAAAATACTTATAATAGTGCGCGAAGAGTGCGTCGATGGGCATTCGATACCGCTGGTATAAAGCCACCAGCTGACAGTGCATCTCGATTGCTCGGCTAAGGAATCCATTTCACTCAATCGCCCCCCCCCCCCCCCGACCGTTTCTCACGCAATGCTATTGTGCCGCCCGTAGCGGCTATTGGCAAACCTATGCGTCCAATTTGAAGTATTTTGGTGGTGCACAGCGGGTACCACCATGCGCACACCTTATCACTGTGGACTTGTCACTGGAGCAACCAACATTCCCACCTTCAGCTGGGCATGTTAACTACTCTTCAGACATGACCTTTTTGTTCAAATTACCCCTAGACGGCACATTCCTAACTTGGTCGGCCTACCCGTACAGGTCGGTCGCCGCGGCCGGCGAAAATCACTTGCGACCGTGCGCGAAGCGTGCGAATGTGCCAAGTCGAAAGCACTGCTGGAGGGCCATGGGTTCCCATGACAACACACTTGTCGGATTGAGATATTCGTGTTATTAAGCCAACAACCGAAGGCGTGCCATTCAGTGTGACGGGATGGCCACAGCAGTGATTTCGAAAGGCTATCATAGCACGGGGAGGCTCGTCTCGCCGTCTCGTCGTCGTAGCTCGTCTAATCTAAGTTACTCTTAGTCTCGCGGAGCGGATGAGACCATGTGCACACGATGTCACTGTGGTAGCAATGTTGGCCGGCATTATAAGACGCACATCGGCCGACATGACCTTTTTCGTCGAAATCGCCCATTTACGGTGCGTTGCTAGCTGCAGCCGGCCCACCCGCATCGTGATGGCCAACATACAGAGGCCGGGAAAATACTTATAACCGCACGCGATGAGTGCAACTGTTGCATTCGACAGCGCTGGCTTCAGGCTATTAGTTACCGGTACAACGCACTCGTCTTATGAGAGAAGCCGTTTTATTCACTGGGGCCTGGAGCAGTATTCGGTCGACCTCGGGACACATCTAACTGATCCCTGACTGCACGGCCGCCACAGAGATTTGGAAAGTTATGTTGCCCAATCTAAAGCAATATTAGTGGTACGCGGCGGGCACAACCATGTGCACACGATAACGTTGTGGAAGCAATATCGGTTGGCAATGTAAATCGCTCATCGGCTGGCACGATCTTTTTTGTTCAATCACCTCCTTACTGATCATTGCGAATTGCAGCCGGCCTCCCCGTGCCATGATAGTCCAAATACGGTAACCCGGAAAGGCTATTATCAGGCCACGAAGAGTGTGACTGTGTAAATTTGATATTGCGCGCACCTTAGTGTCATCCGCACAATTCTTTTACACGACTAGGGATTGTAAGAATGTGTATGGATCCTTTCATGACTGGAATAGCTATACCCTGTTGTGCACACAGCAGAGGCGCAGGATAGCCGTTCAGATGATCGCAGTACTTCCCCTTCGCACGTGAGATCCCAGTCCGGCGACCGTGCGTACATGAGCCGGGGCGTCCCCGTCGGCCGCGCCGCGAGCGTCGCGCGACACACCATTTCAGAGGCAGTCTTGACAAGTCGTGGTCTGTTTCTCCGCGGTTCTCATAGTGCCTTGGACATGTCCGTCATTAATTTTCACGGCAGTTGTTAGTAAACAGTATTTGTCGAAGGAGGTTTTAGGCGGCACGTCTTGTTGATTGTGCACATTTGCATTACATGCACCCTGCAGGCATGGTTGGGTTTATGGTCACTTTGAGTGATTGTTCACCCATCTCATTTATCAGATAATGGCTAAAGTTTCCGACTGTAGCGTGTGGTGTCTGCACTGTCGGACCAACAAGGGAATTGTGAGCTGGAGAGAAACCTATGTCGCGATGACAATGTATCTTCAGTCTCCTCCACGCTGGAGTCATCTGAGAAGGTGAGCGTCCAGGGGCTTATTTACATCATTATCTACTTTCAGCACTTGGTCGTTGACAGTGGTGGATCTTTTGCTAATGACGCAACATCGCGACGCTTATTGAGGAAGGGATTCCGCGCCAACATTGACAGCACCAAACATTTTGTCAGCGATTCACCTGCAGCGCTGTGAGCAGCATTCATGAGGCAGTAACTTTATGGGTGCAGAAATGAATGTCTCTGAAGATAAAATTGTCAACTTACCATGCAACAGCAAAGCAGCGAAATTTATATTGCTTCGATTACCAGTAGCCTTTTTGTTATTTCTCGGCCGCCGACTATTTCAAAATCACTTTTTCCAATCAACCTATGTGCAGTCAACGACCTTGTCATACTTGAACAAAAAAGGCCATGAAAAATGCCCCGATCGGCCAGCGCCATATAATGCCTCACGCCTAGTCGATCCCTCGCTCTCGGCCGTGGTTGGCATCGAGCGCGGCGTCGGCTGGCGGAGACGGACCGCGCGTGGGCCAGGTCAGGTGTCCGCGGACGAGAACGCAGGCGCGGCGCCGCGCAGCTCGTGACGGAGGTGGCGCAGCACCGGTAGCGCTTCAGGAGACCTACGTCCAGGAAACCTATGCTCCCCGGGCCTACGCCCAGGGGGCCTACGTTCACTGGACCTAGGCTCGCGTGGCTTACACCCAGGAGACCTATGCCCACTGGATCTACGCCCAGGAGACCTACGCTCACGAGACCTATGCTCACGAGACCTATGCCCACGAGGCCTACGCCCAGGAGGCATACGTCTACTGGACCTACGCTCACGAGAAATACAGCCAGGAGGCCTACGCTCACTATACCCACGCCTAGGAGACCTACGCCCAGGAAACCTATGCTCACGAGAACTAGGCCCAGGAGACCTACACTCACTGGGCCTATGCGCTTGAGGCCTACGATGACAGCATTCCCAAATTATCGAGTCACTGTTGGCTGGTCGGCTGCCACCTGTCGTGGGGAGGTAAACGAATACTGACTATTAAAGGCGCGATATAGCGATGCCTGCTGCTCCATGGCTCTGCGTCGCATCCCACCACAGGTACGAAAAAAGTGTGTGTATAGAGTATAGAGTGCGAGTATGGCTCACTATGCTGAGAACGCGATGGAAGACTAAATATATATTCGGCGCATGGCGCCTAAACCAAGTAGCCGCTAAAGGGTCTGTGGACTGGCGATGCGGCTTTGTCGCAGACCAGACCAGGCCAGAGGCCTCAGCGGGGTGTCTGCTGAACTGCCATTGGTGACGGATGATCTGAACAGTTCTTGGCGTATCTCTGCCAATTTGCCCGAAGACTGCGGAAACCTGTCCTTCCTTCCGGGAACGGTCCTTTCATTCTGAGCGTGTGGGGAGGAGGCAAGGGGAGGGAGCGAGCAGCCGGGGTGGTAATACCCGGCTGCTTGGTCTTGCCTGAGACGTTAGCAGTTTAAGTCAGTGGCGGATCCAGGATTGCTTCTAATGGGTGACCACACAACACTGTGGGCCTCTGAGGAGTTTTGTGGCCTCCCCAAGACAAAAATATCCGATTGCGGCAATTAAATTCTCAGATTCTTCTTTCCTATATTGTATGGGAAAACTGAGTGCGCCTTTGCGCAGCCCTCGCCAACGAAGGGTGGTGCGTATGTGCACGCATAGAGCGTATTAAAATTCTTTCGATCATGGTGGACCCTGAAAGTGAAATTATTTTGGAGAAGACATGACAATATGCCCGTAGCCAAGGCCAGCATGGGAGGCCACACAGTTGAAAAAGGATCCTATGACGGCGAAAAGCCCCTCCCAACACTGCAGGATATTGTTCAGTTATCAATGAAGGGCACCGCTTTCTTTGTTATATGGTTTTTACCGCCTAGAACTGGAACAGAAGTCAAAAGTCACCGCGAGATCATTCAATCACGAGAGGAGACGCGAGATACACGAGATCACACGAGATGCAACCATTCGGGCCCCTCTTCGAGCTTCCTCTAACAAAGCCAGTGACGAAATCAGGGCCACTTGCCGATGCATGGCCCCCTATTAGACACTGTGGGTCCCTGAACGACACGGGGCCCCGATCATTGCTTCAAGGACCTTGCCCTTGAAACAAAGAGGAATGCAAATCGTGGGCCCCATTCTGCCCCTGCTTGGGAAAAGGGACCCTGGGGTTCCGACCAACACAGAGCCGAGTGTTCGGTGTTGGTGGTCCCTGGCCGACATAGAAGCCCGCACAGTCTCAGCGGTTCTCGGTCGGTGCAAAAGACCCTCTGACTGATATTTCACGTCACGGCCCTATGGACTGGGACCCTTTATGAGACCTATATCCAGCTTTTTGAGTCCTTACACCCTTTAATCTGGCTTTTGATCGTCAGTTTTGGTGGGCCCCGGGCCTCTCTTCGGGCCTTATTGAACACTGCCCTTGATCGCCCCTTGCCAACACCGGGCCACCCGTTTGGCCCTGTGAATCCCTGACAGATACAGAAGCCTCGACCAGTGTAAATCGCTGGCGCCCGTTTTGTCGGTGCTCAGGTGGGCCTTCAGGCTCATACCGACGCGAACCAGACTGTGCAGTACAGGTGATGTCGGACCGACATATACACCCTCATTGAATTAAGAGTCCCCGATCGGCGCAAGGGGCTCTGTGGCTGGCATTGGAATGTCCGGCCATGCCAGCCGGGACTCCTGAATAGGACCATCACCCGGCCTTTCGGGCCCTTCGAGCTCTTAAATCGGGCCTCTAATCGTCGGGCCCGATTTGGGGGGGGGGGGGGGGGCGGCGTGCCCCTATACCCACTGTCCGCGCCATTGTATGACAACGTGAGTTAAATTTGGCAGCTTAATGTCAAAGTGGAGCTCGATAATTCATCCTGAGGGTGGTTCCGGCTAGACGACTAGCTGATGGCTAAACTGATGGCTAATGACGAACGCAGGGTTTTGGTTTGGACTTTGATGAGTGAGTGTAAATGATGGGATAGTGCAAACTACACCATCCTCCAAATGTGCTGAGAATGTGATGCTCAAAAATGGCGATTGCCACAAATTTATTGACCATGGGAAGTGAAATCTGGGACGTCTAAAGCGCGTAAAATTATCTTGGGCAGTAGTGCGTAGAAATTCATCGCGACATATGCAGCTGGTGCTATCTACGACGAGGTGCTATCAGCTTTTGTTTACCCTCTCCACGGTAGGTGGTGACGGGCCCGCCAACAGTGACTCGATAATGTGGGCATCATGTCGTCGTACGCCTCCTGGGCGTAGGTCCAGTAAGCGTAGGTTTCGTGAGTGTAGGTCCAGCGAGCATAGGCCTCGTGAATGTAGGTCCAACAAGCGTAGGTCTTCTAAGCAAAGGTCCGGCACGCGTAGGTTTTGTGAACGTAGTTCCAGCGAGCGTAGGCCTCGTGAGCGTAGGTCCAACAAGCGTAGGTCTTTTGAGCGTTGGTCCAGCAAGCGTAGGCCTCGTGAGCGCGTTGGTCCAGCAGGTGTACGTCTTTTGAGCGTAGTTCCAGCGAGCGTAGGCCTCGTGAGCGTGGGTCCGGTAAGCATAGGTCTGCTGGGGGGTAGGTCTTCTGGGTTGTCCCCGCAGCACCGTTGAGTGCCGCTCATCCAGCGGAGGGGCCGACGGAGGGCGGGCGCTGTGTGGTCCTGACTCCTGTCTGAGGCGGCTCCAGCACGGATCATGCTGCTGCTACATGCTTCGCTGCCGGACGCCTGGACGTGCGGTCCGGACGACGTACTCTAAGGAGGGCTATCAACTGCTAAATGGATTCTGGTATGTGGTATGCGAGCTTTTTTTATAAATTTGATCCGAACCCTTTTGAATGGATGGATTTCTGGGATCAGCGCTCACGCTAAGCAGTGCTTGTTGCGTGAGCTCTGACCCCCACCATCCGATCGCGCAATCACAGGCAACGGCAGAATTTAGTGGCGAAAGCTTAACGTGCCGCAATGCTCGGCACGGTCCGTCCTGCCCTCTGACGTCAACTGACCTTTAGCGCGACCGCTGCCACCGGCCGCAGGCCATACCCGTCAAGGGCAAATAGCGAGCGCCCTAAAGCGACTCGAACCCACCCAGCCACGGGTGGGTGGATCGGAAGGCAGGCGCCCTAACCAACTGAGCCACCGGAGCTTCGTGCGCGATTCAGTGCAGATATGCTTTAGGGTTAGAAGGTGCGCACCTAGTCAAAAGGCTATCAAAGCTACGTGAGGACTGTGTTCATCCGCGTGGCAAGCTCTGCACGTCACTGACTTTCTGATTGCAAACGCCATCGGCATCATACCAATCTCACACTTGCGCTATTAAGGGCAGGCGACGCCTTAGTAAAGCAGCACATAGTGACGAGCGTCATCACTGCTGGTCACCATGACACCATCACCGACCGATCTGAAGCAGCACATAGTGACGAGCGTCATCACTGCTGGTCACCATGACACCATCACCGACCGATCTGAAGCAGCACATAGTGACGAGCGTCATCACTGCTGGTCACCATGACACCATCACCGACCGATCTGAAGCAGCTCATAGTGACGAGCGTCATCACTACTGGTCGCCATGACACCATCACCGACCGATCTGAAGCAGCACATAGTGACGAGCGTCATCACTGCTGGTCACCATGTCGCCGCCACCGACCGATCGCACACTGATTGACACAAATACACAAAACAAGCACACCAATCTGAGAAGACCACCACTACTAGTCAGCGCACCGGTACACCGTCTAATGACACCGTGGCCTTATCGGAAGGTCTCCTTCACCACTTCGACGGCGGACGGGTCAGCCAGCTCCTCGCAGAGGTACTCGATGCAGTGGAAGTTAGAGCCCCACTCGCTGTGCTGCACGTTGTCCTTGTCGTAACACTTCAGCTGTATCGTCAGGCGCAGGTCGCCGGCATCCTTCAGCTGTGAAGCGCCGCGGCCAGCACGGCCAGGTCAGCACGGCGCGGCGTGGCATGCCGGCGAGATCCGGTGACGGACAGCCGGGCGGCCGTTCGAGGAGCGCCTTTCCGTCACGCCCGCAGCTCACGCATCGCGTGGAACTTGCCGAGAGTATTCCACTCGTGCATGGGGTGCGCACTCAGTCAGATTAGCTTTCGAGCATAGCATGATTACAGAAGACGGCCGGTGACGCATATGCTGATATCGTAGCATGCGCGAGCCCTTTATAACCCAAGCGGAACCAGTACCACTCGGGAAGGGAACTACTTGTTCTCGTTATCTCCATTGATGGGGTTCTCCATAGTTTGGGTCCCTAAAAGAGACTGGATGAGTGAGTATATATATATATATATATATATATATATATATATATATATATATATACATGTCTATATACATGAGGCCAAACGATTCTGAAATTTAACAGCGTGGAAGAAACATGGCAATCAGATACAGAACACTGTCACCCTAATAAAACAGATTATGTTAGACAGAAGTAATAGTCATATTCCTCGGAGGGAAAAACCAGGGGAATGGGGAAATGGATGCGTTGATATTTAGGCAACATGCTTTTATCGAAACAGATGGCAAAAGTGCATCAAAATTGCCTATAATGGGCAATTTTGAATTCGCTTCAGCTATTTGTTTCGATAAAGGCATGTCGCCGAAATATCAACGCAGCTATTTCTCCATTCTCCTGGTTTTTCTCCGAGGAACAAGGCTATTACTAATGTCTCATCTATGTGAATAATGCTCCTCGCTAATGCACTGAGCAACTTGTAAAAATTGTGTAACTCACTTTGTTGCCTTTGATTCTTACATCTGAGTCAGCCCATCCTTGATTTAAACAACATGCTGGACTTAAATTGATTACACCAATCCGCCATAAGGTAAAGGACCAAACCAGTCAAATGTTCAGTGCAGTCATTACGCCTAAGTGCAATCAGAGCTGTCCCGGATTCCAGTCCACTCTGCGCGCCAGAGTCCATCAGACTCCACCCACAATGACGCACAAGCCTGTTTACTGCGTTACGACCACGGGGCTGTGTCTCGAAGAGCGTACGCGTAATTAACGACTAGATATTGGACTACTCTGCACTCTTCAAAGAACGAACGTTATTAGTCACTCAAATACATAAGTCCCCTGGCATGGCCTCACAAAGAATGTTAACGGCGCTAACTACTCGAATGTCGTAACTGACAAATATTGACTTCCAATCGTCATAGGGTCCGTATCGTCCCTGAACGGCACCTCCATAAAACAAAGCCGGGAAAACCACAGGAATGCATTCATGGGTTAAACAGTTTCGCAGGGAACTTCAGCGCGGTTAATGTTGGTCTGCTGAATCAAACGACAGCACTCTCCTCTCTGGGCACGCAATGCATATCAAGACATCGCCAAAAAAACAGACGTGACTTGGATTCATCGAACACCATGTTAAAAACGCGGGGGCGGGGGTGCGTTGTATAGATGGACTTATATGGGTAATGGACTTTGTTGACGGCTTTGTCAATCTCTTTCCTTCCCCCCCCCCCCCCTCACCCCGCCCCACCCCCCATCCCCAGACCTCACACATGAGCCAGTGGCGGCTTTTCGCCGGGCATCGACTAACCTAACTTCCGAAGGTTAGCAAAATGACCAAGTCTGACCCTCTCAGTGCTGCTCGGCTTAGTGAACGCCGCTTTATGAGTGAATCAGGTGTTCGTGTAAGCCCCCGGTCGCCTCCAATCATCCTCGTCACGACGACCGTACATTCCCACGACGACAGATGGAACTAGGTGCTGCCCCACCTCCAGCCTGCGGCGCGCGGCGATTTACTGGACGTGCTTTTTAGCGTGCTAGTCATTTGATGCGTCCATGAAGTCGTGTGGCACACATGATTACTTTTTATGTGCCAAACTACATGTGCATGGGGTCATTCTGGGACTCCTCGCTTGTTGCCGCGTGCCGTAGGATGTTACGGGAAATGTGAGATATATACGTCAGCCTCTCTCTTCCCGGACATTTGGGATCGGGCATCACCAAGATTTCCTTTTAGTGTAAATAGATGCGCACGAATGTCATGATGCACCAGTATGGGTACAGCACCAGGATGAACACAGTACCAGTATGGGTATGTACCAGTATGAGTACAGCGCCAGGATGAGCCCGTACCAGTATGAGTATGTACCAGTATGAGAGCAACGTAAGGATGAACATAGTACCAACATCAGTCTGTGCCAGTATGAGAGTTTGTACCACCAGTACCAGCTGTACCAGGATGACTGAAGGTGGTCCGCTGTTTGTGCGGACGTCCGCATTACCGATGTCCGGTGGCGTTGGATAAGTAGAATAGCACGAGAAGGGTCAAACTAGGTCAAGTTCGTGCCAATGTGCTGATCTTTGCAGGTCAAACCAAGCAAAGCCCGGCAACAGCCGAAACTGGTTCATGCGTGGGGTCCAAGGGGGGCTTGAATTTTGAACATTTTGAAAAAAGGTGATCGACCGTGAACATCCACCAATACCGGGTCGCATGGTTATCCCCGTGTGTTTTCAACAAATGTTTTTCGGCAGCATTACAACTCCTTATCCCTTGGGTAGAGAATGGCACCATAGGACACCGCAGACCTGGACCTGGCTGCATGGTAGTTTTCAGCGAAACCGTTTGCAAATGAATACGAATCCGAATGTCAATATATAACTATGCTGTGCCTGCAAACGTTGAAAACTTAGCCCTGTGCTCAAAATGGTTTACAACCTGATCAAACCATATCTTCGAGAGCACCAAGTCCGCTGTCCGGCGAGCTTAAGCATGAAGCGCAGCTGACGCACCTGATACCGCATAGCGGAAGCCGACCGGCTTCGCTCCAGTGCGCGTTGGCCGCTGCCAGTGGCTCTTCAAGGCCCGCCGATAGGCGCGCCCGAACCGCTGCAGCAGGCAGCGTCAGACGGAGCCGCCCCGGCCGGCGCACGGCGCGCCCGAACCGCCGCTATCGCTCGAGCGACGGTGCCAAGAAAGGTTACATGGGTCTTTTATCGGCAGAATCTCGCGCGTTAGTCCGGAGCGATCCCTACCGTGATGAGGACGCACACCTCCCTGCGCTGGCCCTTCTTAGTGGGATCGAAGTCCTGGGTGTGGAAGAAGCTGGAGTAAGCCGAGGCAGTGCTGTCCCGTGTCACTTCGCGCACCTCCAACAGGCCACCGTTGAAGTTCACCGATCTGGAGCGGCGTCCGTCCAGTCACTTCTCTCATTCACTCCCAACGGATTGCCGGCACGCAAACCAACGTCCGTGTCCCAAGTCACCGCAGCATGGTCTTTGCTACGAAATCGAACGCAGTGGTATACAGATTCATAACCAGACGTTCATAGATCGCGTGAAGACTACGCGCACTGACATAACACTGGTTAAGAATATTGCAAGCCTCCAAAACTTGTGTAGATTTGAAGAGGTATAAGCGAATGGCACGTGTAAGGAGAGCCGTTGGCAAACGTTTCAGGACATCGTAGATATTTGTAGTTACTCTGCTCTGAAATGACACACCATTTTTAATGACACGATATCAACACGTCCGTGTGTTGCATACCATACAGTCTCAACCATTCGCTACAACGCTGACAAATGCAGTGCCCACACGATCAAGAGTTACTCTAATATTGCTTTAGTACAAAAAATGTATTTATTGCGACCTGCAACCAGCGGGGGTGTCCTCTTCAGAACTTGCAAGTTTGCAGGCAATGCCGGAGGGAAGGGCTTTCCACAAATGGCGTCCGAAATCTGTTTTCCTTTAATTTTGTAGTACGATTAGAGTGTAGTCAGGTAGACGAATGAAGTGGCGAAAAGCCTAGAGCCTGACAGACGCGCTTGTATTTCACGTCCGACTCAAGAACCTTTTACGAGAAACGAGGCGCCGTATTTGGTGCGCCGTGCGCGGCTCCGGCCGTGACGGCAGTCGTGTTCGGGAAGTGCAGAGGACAACACGCATCTGACACCAGACGGCATGCCAGCTCAGTTCACGGCATGCAAGGATCTAGCGTTGAGCCTGCTGGGGGTTCGGCAAGGGAACAATCAAACCGCCAGAACAGCGACCCTGCCAGTGGTGCGACTTCCCACGCACGCGTACTGGAAGAGTACTCACGTCGACACCAGAATGGTTCTGCATGCATTCGGTGCAGCCTAAAAAGATCATCGCTTCTTTTTTAGACAACGCCCTGGATTGAGCAAACATGAAGTGGCACCCGCCAAACGCCAGCGTGGAGGGGCAGGCTGCAGTGGGGCTCCAGATAAATGATAATGAACATCAGTCACTATCAGGGATGTGCACAGGATTTGAAAACAGACAGGGCGCAACTAAAAAATGTGAACGATATAAACAATATTAAACGATGCCCAATCCCAAAACGGTGATGTACGGTCGGCATTAATGGTTGCTTTGTGTTGGAGTATTGAAGCAGTTGAATAGAAAGGCAACGCAAGTGAAAAATAAAGGCCGTATCGAGAGCATGCGTTGGCTGCAGTAAAGGCAAACAAACTAGAACCACTATCGTGACGGATTCAGGCCCTCTCCGTCACCAGAAGTGCTGGTCATTTCAGCCGTTTGGACCGTTACCTCTTGGAATATTGCGCTGTACCTGGGCACGCAGTGAAAGATTTACGTGTGTCGTGAAAAAGAACCACCTAACCTTCGGTATGCTACAGCTCGAGACAATCTGTACTGTTATCAAAGATGCACGAATTCTGTTAATCACATTCCCTCCGTGTGAACATGGAGTGGTGGCGAGTGAGCAGACACAAAAACTGGCGTTCAAAGGCGGAAGCATGCCGTCCAGACACGACTGCCGTCAGCGACGCCCCTAGCTGGGGTAACCCAACATTCGGTGCAGATGGTATAGGCACCACAGCCAGCCAATGTCTTATTTTCAGGGGCTTGGAAATAAGGGGCCTGGGGGTCATGGCACACAACTTTTACAGAATGTTGAACATTAATCCTCTGTTGCTGCAGGGAAGGAATTGAATTAAAAATCATCAGGTATTGCCAGTTTTCCTAAACGTTGCTACGGTTATGCGACGTTTGTTCAGTGCGAAGCATTGAAAAACTGTCAGCCATTACAGGTTCTGGCAGGGATTGGCTCCAATACCTTGGAATCATCTTCTGTGCATTACACGCACCAGGGTAGCTGGCTCACGACAAATTTGTAAATATTGTTTTAAAGCATCCAAATTATGTAGAGCTCTACGGTTGGTGTAGAACGCCTGTAACAGCGCATAGAATGGAGGGGCACCGGTCGTCCGTCATTTGCCGGTAACCTTACCGATCCACCGGTTTGATATTCCTTACGAGTTCGGTGCGTGTACGGATTACGGGTTACGGGTTACGGGTTGATGAGTTCACGGGTTCGGCATTCATTACCGATTCACCGAAATATGAATAAGACAGCACTAATAACCTTATTCCTCACAGAACAGCCCGGACAATGCAGAGATAGACGCCTTTATTACCGATTCACCTGAATTCGTACGCACTCGGTATTCATTACCAATTCACCGGGATATAAAAAAGACAGTAATAATAACCTTATTCCACGAAGAATAACAAGGGGAATGGAGAGATACACTTTATTGAAAGGAATACCGGAAGTAAATCCAAAGTTGCCTGCCGGTCCTGCTCGATTTTCAGCTCTTTTTGGGAAACAGCAAACATAGTTTTTGCAGGTAACCAACATTCCGAGGACCCGACAAGGCGCAGCTGCCAGCCATTACTTTGGTAAGGTGTATATGCAACTAAGAATAAGAATACACGAAATATACGTGTTCATGCAAACAAATTCAACTAAACAAGCATCACACATCACACACCATTCACACATGCAAGCGATATTAAGTAAGCAAGCGTGGCGCAACACGCATCACTTATACATGCGAGCGATTTCAATTTAATAGGCATCACGCATCACGCCTCTGGGATCACTCATAAATGCAAACAGTTTTAAGCTAGGGCATATCAGACATCAAAGCCCTAATCACATTCGCATAATCGGACATGATGAGCCCTGTGCGTTAAGGTCTGGTCGCCGACTTCTTATCAGAATAGATTCACTTTTTTCCTGTCTGGATGGTCCTGTACTCTGCAGATGTCCTTAAGCTCTAAAGTGGGTAAAGGGTTCGAGTATCTCTAGATTAAAAAAGGTTGCTGAAAGACGTATTCTCTGTTTTGTATTTAGCGTCTCGTAGGTGCTTATCATATTTCAAACGAATAGGGCGCGCGGACTACCCGACATAGGCTATGTCCGTTCCACGTTTCTTTATACAGTTTGCGCTCAATTTCGCAAACCACCTTTTTCGCGCGCACACCCTTTGAAGCCCAGACTTGCATAAGTCACCCATTGTTCTCTGAAAGCTTAGGCTTCAAGATGGTAGATTTCACCAGGTCTCTTTTAAGCTTATTGACGTTCTTCCAAGCTATGCGTACGCACATTTTGGATTTTGTAGCGATATGTTTGATTTTCCAAAGCAAGTGTTCATCTAAGTGAGGTAGTATTGAGGATCCGTTGTCGGACGGGGCGTGCTCCTGCCTCTTACCACCCATCCCCGCCGTGCTCTAGGTTGTTTTACCTCTTCAAACATTCTATGTTAAAGTCGTGAAGAATATCCACCGCCCAGCAGAAAAATGCACCTTATTATGCTCTTTCTTTCTTTTTCACTACTTGAGTTATTCAGAGCCCCGTAAAGCATATTTCGAATTATATTGTGCTTGATAAAGAGCTCCATTTTAAACGTTGTGCAGTTGTTTCTCCTTTCTATTGCAAATAGTGTATCCAAATATCGGACGCTCTTTCCGTCCCTTGCATGCTCCATCGTAAAGGCCAGTGTAAGTCTCTGGTCTCTGTTCAGGCGTCTACACTCCAGCATGATCATCGATGTATCTAGCTGAGAAAGCTGGTTGAAATGGGCTGGCGGCCAGGGCTTTCGTTTCCAATTGGCCTAAAAATAATATCGCCAGAGGAGCCCACGGGTTCCTCATTGTTGTGTCCAATTTCTGTCGATAGCAGTCATCTCCTAACGATAAAACATATCCTGGAGATACTGTTCCAACAGACCGCAGATATATTTTTTGATAAACAGAAAGCATCAATATCATGGAAATGTTTGTCTACCTAGTCTACCTTGGTCTACTTCGGCCTCATTGACTGGTACACTGCCATATCAATTGACCACATCTACACTGAAGAAAATACCGCCCTCTGGCACCCTTTCCGCCTGTAAATGATTGGAAGCCGTTTTAAAAATCTCTCGTGTCCCACAGATAAGTGGAAACAAACCTCAAAAGCTCATCGAGTGCTTTGTCTAAATGACACCAGGTTTTTCTGTAAACCGTCGCACGCAGATATGAAGTGTCTAAGCTGCACTGCAGGCTTGTAATCCTCAGGTTCCCCATATAACACGTGCGTTTTCATGTATCTAGGTGCATGATTAATGTTTCAGTTACGTTTTGTGCTACATAATACACTATGTTGTACATTCTTCCTGGATATTATGGAAACAAGGCTTGCAACCGAATGCTATAAAAATAGCAGCATAACCAAACCTGTGAATACAAGTAAGTACCTTAACTCACTGATGAATATGCAAGAGCACCACGATAAAGGGCCAAAATACGATCACCTAACAATGTTTTGTTCAGTATAACACCAGCGCCGCCACTGTCATCGCTCCGGAGACTGAGGAGCTACACGTGAGTGCTGTCATATGACGTTCGATGGCGCAATCAAGCAATGACCTATTAGGGAGCAATGTACTAAAAAGAGAAATATAGAATAGAGAAGTAGACAACTAACTGGAGAAATGTTGTTGTCTGGAGTAGGTTTTTTTATCTAAAAGCATACCATCAGTTATAAGTGAGCTTAACTCATAATATACGATGCTTGCTTCAATATCTTCAAATGTGGAACATTTCCTTTAGTGTTGTGATACCAGATGTTTCGATCAGGTACTGCATTTTGCAAGTCCATGTACGGTTAGTGCCTAGTGGATACCAGAAAATGAAAGCTTAACTTGGCTTTATCGACATCCTCCATCCTCAACTTTTCTTCTCCCTTTTCCAACCCATTCTCAACCAATGACCCCGTTTCCTCAAAAGGAGATGCCTTCGTGAAAGCGATGGAACGTTGTCAAATGAGATAGGGACTAGTTTCCGCATTCGTGTGGTATCGAGATGAGGGTATGTTGGGACTATCTCTTAGAAGACTGAACAATAGTCCCATGTTGGGGCTATCTGTTATAAGACTGAGAGATAGTCCCAACAACATACCATTGTTGTATGTATACAATATCGTGTGCACCATTGTTTTATATATACAACAATGGTGCAATCGTTGTATATATACAACAATGGTACACACGTGCGTGTGTGCGTGCGTGCGTGCGTGCGCGCGTGTGCGTGTGCGTGTGCGTGTGTGCGTGTGCGTGTGCGTGTGCGTGTGCGTGTGCGTGTGCGTGTGCGTGTGCGTGTGGTGTGTGTGTGGTGTGTGTGTGTGTGTGTGTGTGTGTGTGTGTGTGTGTGTGTGTGTGTGTGTGTGTGTGTGTGTGTGTGTGTGTGTGTGTGTGTGTGTGTGTGTGTGTGTGTGTGTGTGTGTGTGTGTGTGTGTGTGTGTGTGTGTGTGTGTGTTGTGTGTGTTGCAAAATCCCCTATGCAAGAAACTGCATGAGCCATGCACATAACATAGTAAGTTCTACTGCAACTGCGGATGGTACAGGACAATGACATGTATGCCGTAAGTGCCGTTATACTTAAACGCTTGATAAAGTCAGGGTGAAAATCACGGTGAAATCAATAAGCGACATTCTGACGCGCGTGTTAAATACAGCTCATTCTCTGAGCGGAGGGACCATGATAGAATGTTGCCATGACAACACTTCGCTAGCTTCGTCCACCACCAAGCCTGCTGCAAATAAATTCCGCTGCATCAGTCGAGTGCGCCAAGTTTCGGTCAAAACGATCAAAGCATGACAGTTTTGCTCCACGTAATGCAGACGCCAATCCGACTTTAATTGGCGTATTCTAATAGTGTCCTGATAAACTGGAGCAGCATGGACTGCCGCTGATAAAAAGGTCACATATTAGCAGCTTAAGGAATAAGAAAACACAGCACAGCTTAAAAATCGGATATGTCTGAAGCCGAAGAGGAGACGCCAATACCAGCGGAAGACACCCACGTCTTTATCAGTGCGCTAGATTCGTACATTGGTAGAAACTTAGCTGAAATCTTCTCCGGACAAATACAAGCGGTAAGTCCCGAAGAAGAGGAGGAGCTTGAAGAGGAAGATAAGGTGGAGGAGGAAAAACCGTCTTCTACGAAAATTCACGGTGTGCAGAGAGAGCAAAAAGACAGTGGTATAAGTGACTCTGAAACCGTTCTGACCTCCTCCCAGGCCACCGATCGAGATACTTTGTTGGCTTGTATGGAGCTATGTGAAGTAATAATTTACGACATCACAGTTGGAGGACAGGACATGATCGACGAAGCGACATGGGCAGTGGAAACGCTACACGACCGGCTGGAACTGTGGCCTAAGAGGAAAACATTCATTTTGATATCAACCGTAATGACATGGGCAAAGACCAAGCCCGTAGATCCAGATGACCCAGACACTCCATTCACTGAAGAAGATTACCGAAGACGTCGAGCTCATCCCCATTTTCAAGAGCATCTTAAATGCGAAAAGACAACTTTTGCGTCGGGAAAAACCAACAAGAAGAAATTTAAGACATACGTGATAGCTGCTGGAGCAACATTTGGAAAGGGAGAAGATATTTTCCACTCCTGGATGAAGCAAGCCTGGCACAATGAAAAAGAGCTTACTGTGTACGGTCGTGGTAATAACGTTATACCAACCATTCACGTTCTGGACCTTGCTCAACTGGTCCAGTACACATACGAGAAACGCCCGCCATCGCGCTACATTTTGGCCGTGGACGGGCTGTCAAATACACAGCGCGAGATAGTGAAGGCTATCAGCATGGAACTTTCAACGGGCCAAGTAAAAAGAGCGGACAAAGAGGACATTTTCCTCACGGATATGACCCTTCTGCATGCTGATCTGATCACGAGTGACCTTAAAATGGAGGGTATCGTTTTTGCTGACGACATCGAAGAGAGAAGGTCTGAAGAAGGTTTCGTAGAGGGCATTCTCAGTGTGGTCAAAGAATACAAAGCGGAGAGAAAACTACAGCCTATGCGCATATGCATCTTGGGACCCCCTGTATCTGGGAAAACCTTTCTGGCACAAAAGCTGAGCAAGGCGTACAAGCTTCACCACCTGCGCGTGGATGAAATAATAGAGAAAGCAATCAAGGATCTGGAGGAGATCGCGCACCCGCCGATCCCAGACGACCCACCCGTCACGCTCCCCGAAGAGAAGCAGAGCAACGAAGAAGCTGGCTCGGAGCAGCAAGAGGAAGAAGAAGGAGAAGAACAGGAGCCTGAAGACTTCGAGGAAGAAGTAGAGGAGGAGGAAGAAGACGAAGATAAGATGACCCCCGAAGAGGCCCAGGAATTACTGCAGGATATCAAAGATCAAAGAGAAGCTAACAAAAATGGTCGATTGGATGAAGCCACAGTGCTGCAATTCGTTGAGGATCGGATTAGGTCCAAGCCTTGTCAGAACCAAGGATTTGTACTGGACGGATATCCCAAAATAACGGAACAGGCAGAGGGATTATTTGGGGCGGATGAGGAAGCAGATGACATTGGTGAGGAAGACGAACCCCAATATAATCGTGCGACGATGCCAGAGCTTGTGATCGCACTGAACGGAACCGATGAGTTTTTATGTGAGCGGGCAATGAATCTCCCGGAGGAGGTTGTGCAGGGCACCCACTGGACGGAGGACGGTGTGCTGAGGAGGCTGACTGAGTACAGAAACAACAACAAAGAGGACGTCAGCGTGCTGAACTTCTTCGACGAATTGGAAGTGCACCCATTGGAAATAAACATATCCGACGATACCAGCCCTGAACTGGAAGAGGAATTCCAGATGATCTCTAAGAAACTGGGGCCGGCCAGAAACTATGGGCTGACGAAGGAAGAGGCGGAGGAAGAACATCAACGCCAAGAGGAGGAAAGGACAGCGAGAGAAGCACGACAGCGGGAAGAGACGGACCGATGCACACGGGAGGAAATGGACAACCGAAGAAGAGAGCAAATGATCTGGATGGAGAAAATCACGGAAGTGAAGCTACAAGAGCTGGAAGCGCTAGAGGCACGGTCTTTGCCTCTCAGAAATTACTTGATGAAGCACGTGATACCAACGTTGACTCAAGGTCTTTTAGAGTGCGCTAAGGTGAAACCAGAAGATCCTGTAGATTTTCTGGCCGAGTATCTGTTTAAAAACAATCCGCAAACAAACCTAGTGGAATGGGAGGAGCTGCAAAAAAGCAAAGTGGAGGAAAAGGAAGCAGCAAGGAAGGAAATGATGAAGACGTGGCTTGCAGATGCTAAGCCACCTGAAGGCAACGACACCGGGAATGATCAGATGGAGCCGAAAAAAGAGGGACTGGAGTCGACCTCAGCACCTGAAGAACAACCGAAAACTGCTGAAAAGAAACCAACAGAAAACGAGACGGGTTAAATGCTCCAGCGCCCAAATTTACATGAAGTGGCAACGGATTGCATGGGAAGATAATTTATGCCCGCAGAAGCATCATAGGTTATTAGTGCCGTGGACATGCTGTATTACAACGCGCATCTGTAGCCTGCTTAATATGTCGTAAGGGAACACTTGTGATAGATATGGACTGCGCCGGACGACGTGTTTTGCGTGCTGTGGCAAAAATGTCAAACGCTTCCAAAATTGCATCGCCTATTACCTTATTGTGAGGTGATGGAAGTATATTACAAGTGAACAGTCCGAACTGCTTGTCATTACCACACTGAAGTGTCCATCGTGCACTTGGTGGCAAATCAACTCCGTTCTCCTTTTTGTGAGGCCTCCGTATCATACCTGGCAGCCTGCGCCCATTCCCCGCAAGGCGCGCTGGTATCTGCATCCACCAGTCGGCGGCGAGCGCTAGACTGGCGCGGCTGGACCCGACCCCGGCCACTGGGTCACTAGCTGTCCCCTTCGGTCACCGACCTTTTGTAGACTGAGGCTCGGTCGCTAAAATATGCTCGTAGTTGTTGATGTATTCTTACACTACTCTGGACATTGTATCGTGCGTCCGGTAACGATTATATAGCATACTCTTCTAAACGTACTTACGGGTGCAGGTCATCCCGGCCTGGAAAGCAGACGCGTCCACCTACACCTGCCTGATGATTACGAGCGAAGCCACAGGCCCAGCGAATCTTACCTGAATGATCACCTGGGCGGCGTGGTTACATGGTGCCCATTCCAATGCAGGAGGGAGGTGTTCGGTTCAAGCCCAACCACAGCAGCCTTTTTCTCGGACGACTCCTACCCAGGGGGTGGCAAGGACCGGGCAGTGATCGTCCTGCCGCGGGATTAACGCAGTGCGAGCTAGCGCTCGCGGCCGTATGCTCACGTGCATGGTATGGCTTTAAATAGATCCCTCGGTGCAGTGATCCAGCCCGAGGGCGCGGCCTCACTCTGGGCCAGTGCAGCTGTCCTCTGGCCACCGGACCCAAGGAGGCTTGATAGGCCCGCTGCGCACATGCCGCGAAAGCCTCCTGACTACTGTCAAGACGGTCCTGACTGCTGTTAGTGGGTGATCAAGATGGTACTGACTGCTGTTAGTGCGTGATCAAGATGATCCTGACTGCTGTCAATGCGTGGTAAGGATGGTCCCGAAAGGATGCTGAGAACGTAAAACCTCTGCCGTGTAAAATGTAAAATGTATGCGTGGGCCTTTCCGTGCAACTAATCCAAAAATGCTCTGTGATACGGCACCAACAATGTGTAGGTCTTAATCAAAATATGTGACGATTTTCTACTCCAAATTCTTGGTCGTGGCGCTTTCTTAAACATATATTTACATACAGTTTCATGCAGTTTTAAGCAGCAAGCCCAAATCCTCAAAAATCGCGTAATGCAAATCGCTGGGCATTTGCAACAGATTGTCTAATCTGGCGAGTTTCTGCGGCAAAATCGTATTATCGCCGCGACTTCACCCCCTTGCTGGATCAACATGAAAAAGTGGTATCTTAAAATTTCGAAAAGGCTGAAAAACACCGGTCAAAGCCGCGTCCATGTCTTGACGATTCGGTTTCGCAGCGAGACGGGACAAACAGATCCTGAAGGGAGGAACAAGATAACCGTATTGATAAAAGCATGAGTCGATGTGTGCAGACGGTCACGCGGTCTCGTGCGCAAACCTAAATCCCTGTTTTGGGCGTTTTTAGCGATTGACGTGGGATCTCAGCACCCAGACCAGATGAAAACGTGAAACCGACTGCACGGTGTAGCTGAGTGTATCAGCCGCAGTTTGCGCACGGATCTAAAACTGGCTCCACAGATCTATTCGTTCGCCGGTAATCGACCGAGAATCGGTCAGCGTCGCCTTTTTTGGAAATCTATATCGGATATCACACACTATGTCAAAAACAAGGGTACGCTTAGTCGTCAAAACGATACAGGTGCCCACTCTACTAACCGTCACCAATATCCACGCAAAACATCTGCGTTTTTCCAATACTATAGCAAAAGCTATAATAAATGCGCATTTGTCGATGTCCTGCCTTAAAACTGTAAAGTCCGACTGAAGCCGTCAGCCAGACCGGTCAGCCTGGCCAGTCAGTTTTTGGGTATAGTTCTTGTCATTACGGGCTGGCAACAGTATTGCATCAGTGGACCTCAGCCTGATAAATTCGGATGACAGGCAGACTGAGCAGCCCTTCTCTCGCATCGACGAAAGCTGTCAGTGTCAATATCAGAAGACGTCTGCGTTTATTCACTTAGTTCTTGGCATCATCTTCATAACCCCTGCCACATATACTGTCACGTCTCATATCAGCCCATTCGTCGCGCGTCGCACAAGGCGTCTACCTGCAGTTGTTGCTAGCAGGAGTGTCGCAAGGCGTTTACCTGCAGTTGTTGCTAGCAGGAGTGTCACAAGGCGCTTACCTGCAGTTGTTGCTAATAGCAGTGTCACAAGGCGTTTACCTGTAGTTGTTGCTAACAGGCGCTTCCCAGGGCGTTTACCTGCAGTTGTTGCTCGCAGGAGTGTCACAAGGCGTTTACCTGCAGCTGTTGCTAACAGGAGTGTCACAAGGCGATTACCCGCAGTTGTTGCTAACAGGGGCGTCACAAGGCGTTTACCTGCAGTTGCTGCTCACAGGGGTGTCACAGGGCGTTTACCTGCAGTTGTTGCTAGCAGGGGTGTCATAAGGCGTTTACCTGCAGTTGTTGCTAACAGGGGTATCGCTTTCTAAAATCGGTTTGGGGACCGATCTAATAAAGTTGACCTAACCTTCCTCTAAATTATTATTTCTCGCCAGATTGCGGCCGCCGATTTGAGACGTACCTGACGTAAAAATTTAAACAAAGAAGGAAATGACCGGTTCCAAAATTGTTTTGATGTCGAGGAATGACTTCCCATTTGAAACCAATGTGATAATGATAATGACACTAGATAACAATGGCATTACCATGCCATGCGTTTAGACACCTAGTGTAACAACAGTCCAAACACTTGCTGTGTTTCATTGGCCCAGTATTCCATTTTTACTCATATGCATTGGGAGGGCTCGGAGGGTCACTGAGGGAGCTCAAGTCAGCATTGGGGGAGGAGGGTGCTCAGGCTCCCCGCAAGCATTTAGGGACACGCCCGGTTGCTAGTCTATGATGGTCTAGACAGACATTCCCAATGCAAGCTGACAAACACACCCAGCCGAACACCAGCAACGTGGAGCTTACAGAACTGCAGCAGGTATGTACTCACTCAACGCCTCTGGGTGGAGTAAAGGAAAGGTCCATCCTATACTGGCACTTGCTGTTGAGTTTGATGGTCTTCTCGCGCTTGAAGCGCTGTCCGTCCGTTTTATAGAACAGTGGCTGTCCGCCGGGCTCCTTCTTCATAGATAGCAGGACCTTGAAGCTGTGCTTCATCTCCTCTTGGTCTGACGCAACAGGTACGGGTCAGAGGGCGCTTCTAGTTATGGCAACGATAACATGTTTCATGGAAGTGCATCTTGGCGCATCGAGTTTGAAGGGAAGCGAACCGAACAATAGATTTTAGAACGTTTTCAATGCGGAAAGTTTCTTGCCAGAACGTCACTGAGACAACACGGTACATCTATCATCCCACTCTTAACAGCTTATCCTTTGACCCTTTTCGATCAGCTCGTTTCGCTATAAGCTGAATATTCAGGCCTGAGGGAGAAATTTCGCAGAATAAGTTGGTCTGAATGGGAAAATGGCTAAACCTGATCACAAAACACCCCGAAAGCAGTGTTATTGTCATATGTGGCCCAGCATATTATCAAAGTTAGAGACCGTCCCCCCCCCCCTGCGCCCCGAACTGAATAGAAAACCACAGCCCTGTGCTAGCCGTTCAAGATCTCAAGCCCTGGGCGTACAGAGGACTCAGCAACGACCCCAGATTATTCTGGGTGTACGAAGGTCTTCCCTATTGAGGAGCGGATACACATTTAGCCTGATGTTAAGCGTTCCAAACACTAGTAGCAGGGCTTCTGACTCCGTTTATAATCTTAAGTCACGGTTTCAATCGTGATTAAGCCCATATATCAAATCGTTCTCTTAGTGAAAGATCTTCAGAAATTTCCTTGGATCGAATGAACTACTGCAGTCAGCTGGGCGTGGTACATATGACCAAAAGCGTCCAACACCAGGAGTCATCACTCGCCCAATGCGAGACCTGATGAATGGCCGGAAATGCGAGCCGGCAGAAATGAATCCATTCATCCACTGCCTCGCGTTCCTAGAGAACCGGCCAGAGGAGGATGATTAACGTCCGGTGCCATGCTCCTCCTAACGTGTAGGCTGAATGCGGGCGGGGCTTCACATCTGATATGAGATGAGCCATAGAAAATGCTCGGTACGATTCACCTTGGCTTCACATTGCACTGGGCACTAGCGTACGAAAATGCTAATTTTGTAATTGGGAAGTCATTGGGAACGAGCTCACACTAATATACCTATAATACAAGACATTAGGGTAGCGAAAAAACGCGGATCTAACGATTGATTATGAAGCTGATGAACAGCGCATGCATGCACTTCCAAAGCATCCCGAATCAAATCCCTGGGGCGTCCAGCTCACATTGGACCAACCGCTAACAGATGGTGTTTGTCCAGGACATGGACAGTCCAGGACATGAATGTCCATGCACAGGACATTCAAAAGAAAGCACACTCACAAAAAGCACGCTAACGCACGTGCATGGCTGACAGGGTTTACACAAACACGAGTCAAAACTTAGCACAAAGAACAAAATGACAAGCGTTGGAGAGCTGAGCTCTCACATTCAGCTGTATCACGGCACGGTCAGAAGCATCAGCGTCAGCTGAACAAGATTTCCGCATCAGGGTTGGAAAAGGGTCGGGCTGCAGCGAACAGACGCTCTCGGCGAGGGAACCCCTATGCGTGGACCCCACACGAGAGGACCCCCCGCGATGAGACCTCGCACAAGTGGACCCCGCACGTGGGAAGACAATGCGCCTACCGACTGCATCTGTGGGCGGTAGCTCTTCCATGGCTGGAGGTTGGCCAACACTCGGTCCGGATGGCAGCTGGGCGCGGGCTGCACTGCCGCGGCTCGGCGTCAGCCCCCCCCCCCCCCCCCCCCCCTCCCCCGCTATCACCTCCCAGCCGGCAGCTCGCGCCGGCAGTCAGTTCGGAGGCGACGGGTGGCGCGCCAAACGGCCGCCGCCGCTCTCGGGCGCGGCATAGGGTCGCGCCATCCCGGGCCGAACGTGACACAGTCGGCCGGCTCGTAAGCGCAGGAGCCGCGCCCGCGCAGCCGTTGGACGTGCGATTTTGACAAGTCGTTGCGGATCTGGCCGCACGCCGCTGTGGAAGCTGTAAGCACTCGGTACCGCAGGCTGACGGACGCTGAGTAATGCCCGTTTTGTCCGCGGCCCACGGCTTTGGGACATTTATTACTTTATTGCCCTGATAACTCAGTTATCCACGGGTGGCCCCTAGATAGACCAGTGTTCGTTGTACCGAGTGCATAGTGCAATCAGATGTCCATGTCCTGCTTCCCAGAACCAAAGAATGTCGGTTTGCTAAAGCGAAGAAAACGACACAGCTAACGCACCGGGATGTTTAAATAAGCTGTTGTTGAAACCACGCATTTGATCGCGAACATTTCGAACACAAATTCAGGCAAATTCACGTAATTCGATCTCACTGTCCCGTGCTAGGTCACGTGACATTTCTGTTGGGCCAGCACGCGCTGTCTCACGTGGCCGGAGCGGACGTGTTACATGATGGCGTCTTCTGGCGGCGGCTCAATACAGCCGCGCGTGCACTAATCAACGAGACAGAAGCAGGCTAGACCGACACCAGATGCTGAGACAGACGGCTCGCAGAGTCGCCCACACCGAAACTCCGTAACACCGGCGGAGTGTGGATGTCCGTCAAGTTAGCGTTGCATTCGTATTCATGTTCATTATCGAGTCCAGATTTCTAACAGGAGTCCCCCAAGTCAAACCCTCTGAGTGATTCACGAATCTGCAATCCTCGTTTCCCTTAGTCACTTGGTTTGACCTCTGTAGGTCACTGAAATGTCAAAACTTGTATACCCTAGCATTTCTTCGTTAACGATGAAATCCAATGAAATGGATATTGCAGTCATTTTTATGATGCCCACCTTCGTTACGCCAGCAGAAGCTCACTCTCGAGGTCAGACGTCAAGTACACATGAAATGGGTACCCTGACCTACCTTTGTTCATGAGAAGATGCAACAAAATGGTGTGATATTGATGCCCATGCTGTCCTCTTTCGTCACATTTGCGAAAAACTAGCTTTCATGGTCAAAGATCAAGGTCACACAAAGGGCGGTACTCTAACATCTATTGTTTTACCAAAGAAAGACAACAAAAGAGGTGGCAAATAATGTTCATCATATTTGCTTTCGTCACATCTGCCAAAACTGACTCTCAGGGTCAAAGGTAAAGATTCCATAGATTACAAAAAACGCGGTACCCTGACATTTATTAGCTAACTAAAAAAGATGCAATAGGTGCATAATAGTAATGCTCGTTATGCCCACTTTCGTCACACCTAGAAACGTCTAGGTCAAAGGTCGAGGTCACACAAGTAGTAATTTAGCAGTTATTCACTCACCCAGGAAACACAATTAGACGAGTATGATGCTGACGCTCATGACGCCTAATATCCTCACACAAGCGAAAACTATGCATCAAAATTAAAGGTCAAGCTCACACCAAACCGGGTAATCCGGAATTTATTCCTTCATTAACGATATGCAGCAAAAACCAAGTGACATTGAAGCTCACGATGCCTGCTTGCGTCCCACATGACAAATTTACCCTTAAGGCCGAAGGTCAAGGTCAAGTGGTGGGCGGCGCTTTCGCGTGCTCGTTTAACGCAGAAACACAGCAAAATGGGCATCGTAAAGACGCCTTGGCGTCCAAATTCGTTCCACATGAAAAATAGCTCAGGGTGAAGGGCCAAGGTCACACAGTATAGTGGACGTGATAGTGGTGCTCGTGATGTCCACTTTCGTCACACTCGCGACAACCAACAAACAAGGTTAAAGGTCAAAGCCGCGCAGAGCGCAATACTCTTGCATTTTTCATGCACTGAAGAAATTCCAAAACGTCACGTCATATTGATGGTTGTGATGTTTGTTTCCGTCAAACTTGAAAAACTAACTCGGCACCGCATTTTGTGACCCTGACCTTTGACCCTAAGTTAGTTTTTCCATACATGACAAAAACAGACATAACGAGCAGCAATAAAACACGACTTTTGCTGCATTTATTTACTAAAGAAATGTGTGGCAGGGTACTGCGGCGCACGTGACCCTGATCTCTGACCGTGATACTAGCTTTTCCCAATTTAACGACACTGAATATTACCAAAATCAATAAATTAGCATTTTGTTGCATTTCTTAAGTGCACAAAAAATGCTAGACCACCGTGTTTTGTGTGACGTTAACATATGAACTTAGTTCTTCAGGTGTGGCGAAAGCGAACATCCTGAGCATTTATATGATACCCTATTGTTGGTATTTATTCAGTAAACGAGCATTTTCATGACACTACATTTTGAATGTTCTTAACCGTTGAATAAAATAGTAAATGTTTTCAACCTTGACGAAATAAAACACGACTTCCTTCCTGTAAAGCACGACATCACGGGCATCAATAAAGCACCACTTTTGTTGCATTTCTTTGGTAAAGAAATGAAAGTCAGGGTACCGCGTTTTTGTGGGCTTCACATCTGGCCTTGAAAGGTACTCTTGCTAGGCATGACGAAAATGGACATTACGAGCACCTACTTGACACATATTTTGTAGCATATCTTAAGCAAAAGATTAAATTCCAGGGCACTGTGTTTTGCGCAACCTTGAATTTTCACCTAGTCACTTTGTCAAATGCAACGAAAGCAGGCATCACGAACATCGATATGATACGATTAGCGTTGCATATCTTTGGTAAATGAATGTATTCCATGGCACAATGTTTTTGTGACCTTGACCTTTGAGTTTGAAAGATGCTTTTTGCTTGTGTGGGAAAAGCAGAAATCAAAAGCATCAATTTCATACCCGTTTTATTCTCTTGAATGAGCGAACAAGGCTAAGGTGCTTTTTTCTGTGTGACCTTAAACTCTGGCCTTGATTAGATTGTCATGGTACCGCGTTTTGCGTCACCCTGACCTTAGGCCTTGTGAACTGGGTTTGGTTGGTGTAACGAAAGCGGGCACAACGAGTACGAGTCCACCTGAACCTCTTGTATCGGATTTCTCTAATAAGGAATAAATCGTAGCTTACCGTACTTTGTGTGGACTTGATTTGTACCGTGAAAGGAAGTTTTTGCAGATCTGACGAAAGAGGACATCACGAGCATCAATATGACACCTTTTCTGTTGCACTTTCTTTAGGTGGGAAGAAATACCGGAGTATACCATTTTATGTGACCTTGACGTTACCTTTTAAGAACGTCCCTGCAGGCATGAAAAGCAGACATCACGAGTATCAATATGATACCCATTTCATTGGCTTTATTCGGTAAACAAAGCAATGCCAGGGTAACCAACTTTTGACCTTTCACTGGCCTGTAGAGGTCAAGCTAAGGGATTAAGAGAAAAGAGGACAGGAGATTCGTAAATAACTGAGTGGGTCAGGGCTGAGGGGACTGCTGTTATAAATCTGAAGTCGACGCTGTATTCAAATACTAATACGATGCCAACTTAACGGACATGGAGCATGGCATGCAAACTACTACCGTTGAATAACACGCACTGGCTTTGCGACGTCGGTTAACAAACATGTCCGAACGGAGGTAAGCAAAGAAATAGCACTGGTCAGTCGTGATTAGCGAGAATGCCAGCAGTCAATATTAAGGTCATGTAGGAGCGGCAAAGGTACAGATAATGCACCAAACCGATGCTGATGACCATCACCGCGAGAACAAAGAGCGCAGCCATTGTGCCGCCCACTGTGTGGTAGCGGCTATCTGCAAGGGTTGCGGCAAACCACACAGAGCAGCTTGACATCCCACATCGCGTGCAAATCAACTCTTCCGATCAACTCCTCTAGAGGCAAGGGCAGGAACCCTAGTACGCTCTCCTATCCATCCGAACGGATATAGAAAGACAGTCCAGGTTTTAAAACGTGGGGATACTTCTCAGTACCAGGCCACGACGTACCATAAGGGTGGCTGCCAGACCGCTGCAACCAATACACCCCTATCACACTCCAACGCGACGTAGAGTTTTCATCCATACACGGCGATACAGACTTACCATCTGCCCACAGCAACACCGACATACCATCAATTTACAACGACTTACATTGCCGATGAATTCACCACAGCACAGACTCCCACCAATGCACCATGACATAGACTCCAAGCTGCAGTCCACCGTAACACAGACTCCCTGCTACGGTACACCATTACGCATACTCCCAGCCACAGCACACAATGGCATAGACTGCCAGCCACCGTCCACCGTGTCACAGACTACCGGCCACAGTCCACCATGGCACAGACTCCCAGTCACAGTCCATCGTGATACAGACTCCCGGCTACAGTTCATCGTGGCAGTCTTGCCATCAGACCACTGTGGCAGGCACCCCCATCAGACCACCGTGGCACATATTCCCCGCCACAGTTCACCATGGCATAGTCTCCCAGCCTCAGCCTACCATGGCACAGACTGCTAGACACAGACTACCGTTACACAGACTCGCAGACGTAACACAGCATGACACAGACTCCCAGTCACCGTTCACCGTGGCTCAGACTCTCCACCACAAACGGCAGCTGCCCACCACACCACAGTTAATCCAGGCGGAATTCACGCCGTCCACCACCAGCCGCCTGCGTTTGGCTGACTAAAATCAACACGAGCAGTGAAGGAAGCTTCAAAAAGAGGCTGCTGCATTCATATTTACCCCGACAAACTGAAATTGAGAAGAAGCGGATCTCGTGATGACGTCACGCAGCCACTTCAAATAGACAAAGCGACATTAATGGTGGCGGGTTCATTGCTTGCAATATACTTATAATCATACTGAAGAGAACCAACTACGCAATTC